TTTCTACAACAGACTCTTAATAGGCAAAACTGAACAATTTCCTTCTGGCACTTAAAGCTTAAAAAGTACATCATATTTTTCTAAAAAAGATGGCTCTCTCATTTTATGTTCATAATAGATTATTTCATAGCAGAAACTTCTCTGTAATGTTAGTGAATATACTGGACTTAATCTGATGGTTGAAGTTTTGGCAAATGCTGAAGTGTAATCCTTCTTTTAAGTCAAGCACCTGTGTCTTTATACATAAGATTCCAGAAAATAAAATGGAAGTAACTGTGAAGGGAAATAACGGTAAACTATAAGTTAGTGCTAGACAGTACTTCAAAACAAACAGTTGCCACTGCAAGGAGCAGTGACTATGTACAAATTATATTATTATATATATTAAGAAATTAGATTTTATATGACTATATTAAGAGTCTTGGTGGTCTCTTGATCATGTATGTAATTTTATATGTTAGTTTGATATATGGAATGTATTGTTGTACATTAGTCTTGTTGTACTGAGTATTTAAAATTTTGACGATGATGACTATCTGATTATGTATGTACGTGGTGTGTTCAAAAAGTATCGAACCTTTGGTCGGGAGAAATATATTTATTGATTTGGAGGTACAAAACCTTAATCCCCTTCAGAGTAGTCTCCTTGGTAATGCACACACATCTCCCAGTGCTTCCGCCATTGTTGGAAACACTTCTGGAACGCATCTTTTGGAATGGTGATCAGCTGGGCCATCACATTCCACATGATGTCTTCTCTTGACTCAAATCGGGTTCCTTTCAGCAGCATTTTCAGCTTGGGAAATAGCCAAAAGTCACATGGAGCCATGTCGGGGGAGTGGGGAGCCTGACGAACCACAGGGATGTTGTGTTTGGCAACGAAAGTCTGAATCAGATGCACAGAATGGGCGGGTGCGTTATCATGGTGGAGCTGGCAAGATTTTGCTTCCCATAGATCCACTCGTTGGCGATGCACATCATCGCGAAGGCGACGAAGGACCTCCTGGTAGTATTCCTTTGTGATGGTTTGGCCTTGTGGTGCGTACTCATGATGCACAACCCCACAGGAGTCAAAGAAAACGGCCAACATGACCTTGACATTGCAGCAGACCTGCCGTGCTTTTTTTGGCCTCAGGGATGTCGGATGTTTCCACTGTGACGACTGCATCTTGGTTTCCGGGTCGTACCCATAAACCCACGACTCACCGCCTGTGATCACGGTGTTCAGAAAGTTGGGGTTACTGTTTGCATTGTCCAGCATGTACTGTGCAATTTCCAGATGGCGTTGCTTCTGCTCCATTGTTAGCAGTTTCGCTACAAATTTCGCGGACACTCTCCTCATGCCCAAATCCTCGGTCAAAATTCAATGTACTGATCCAATGCTTACCCCTATCTCGTTCGCAAGTTCTCGGACTGTGATACGATGGTCCTCCATGACCAAAGTCCGCACTTGCTCGATGACATTCTCATTTCGGCTTCTTGAGGGTCTGCCTGAACGCGGATCGCTGTCCACTGATGTGCGGCCATCTTTCAAGCGGTTGTACACTCCTTTATCCGTGAGTTGCTCATGGCATCGTCCCCAAAAGCCTGTTGAATCTTGCGAATCGTTTCCACTTGGGTATCACCAAGCTTTTGGCAAAATTTGATGCAATATCGCTGCTCATGTTGTTCCGTCATTTTACACCTTACTGGAATCCGACGAGCGCTCACTACACGTCCTCACTCATAGGCCAACTGCCAGCAACTGATGCTTTCTGCGGGAGGGAAAAAATTCATGACTGCGCATGAATGTCCCCTCCACATCTCCACCAAAGGGAGTCTCCCGCGCTTCATTGGTTTACATGGGAAAAAAGAAGGTTCAATACTTTTTGAACACATCACGTATATTCATATCTTATATTGTATTGCTGACTTGTTCTATATCTGAGGCAGATGCCTCCATGGATTTTGTAGAACTGTAAATATATGAATGAATGAATATATATGCAGTGGTACTGAAACTACAGGTAAAGGTAAAGTTGTCCCTGTGCCTAACTACTTAAGCACTATAACATGAAAGCATATGGGGGAGTGACTATACAAATCCACATTTTTTTTACCTCAGCACTAGCCGGAGATGAGTGGTCAGCTTCACGCCCAGGCCACTTTACCCCTGGGGAAAGAGCCCCCAGTAACCTTTGGATAGGAGGTTGGGTGGATCCCAGAGCCAGTCCAGACGACTTTTGAAAAGAGAAAATTCTTTACCCTACCAGGACTCTGAGTCCAACCCCTTAGTTGTCCAGCCCATACCTAGTTGCTATACTGACTACACTACCCCGGCTCCCCCTGAAACTACAGAGCAGGATGAAAACTAACCTAACACAAATCATCCAAACGAGGAGTACGATGATAATGATGAAGATAACTGCTCCAGCAATACCACCAGCAATATATGCAAACTCTGACTTCTCCTGGCAGTGTTTGCCTGTGAAACTTCCAATGCAGCGGCAAGATGGCTGTCCTCTAGAGTCTTTCACACATGTACCCTCATTGTCACAGTAGCCGGTACATACATCTGTAAAAAGTTAATGTTGCATCACATTTGTCACAAACAGTAATACAAAAATATACACTGTTTGCATATCAGTAGCAACATATCTGCCATACCTGTACACACTTTCCCTGTCCCATTATAGCCTGGTTTGCATTCACACTTGAAGTCACTTGTCTCAGGAACCAACAAGCAATAAGCATTGGGGTCACAGTGCATGCCTGGTCCATTCATTTCACATGGATTACTGCACTCTGATTTGCTCGTCTATAACAAATTTAATAAAATCAACCACTTCAGTTCTCTGGAATATCATTATGCAAAAAACCAGGGAAACTTCAGAACCAACTTAATAAAAAGAAAATAGATTATGATCATGTTACAGTTGCATGCATTTAAAAAGCGTATGCATTTAGATCAGTTTATTTGGTCATTAATGTTGCTATTTTGTTACTTCTCTCTCACTGGCTGATTTACTGGAAGAAGAGGTCACTCCAAACTGAACAAGTATAAAACTAATGTTTTATTAGATCACTGATTACTGCCAATAGCTAACTCTTGACCTTGCTACACGTAAGACCTGCATTTTAGTGAAATTTCACAAGACATACATACCGCAGCTGTACCCTTAGTGCTGGTGTTTGGTGGACAAGGTATACATGTTGTTTGTTGTGGATCAGGCTGATATGATCCTTTCTTGCATGGAATGCAACTGTTCTGTGTACCATTCAAGAATGTTCCAGGCTGACACACTGGTAATGTGCATTCCTCCACAGCTGCAGCTCCGGGTCTGTGTGTAGTGCGACCAGTTGGACATCCCTGACAAGCTGCCTGTACACCCATGGTTCTGTACGTTCCTCGAGGACATGGTTCACATTTTCCTTCTACTCCTAACTGTCTTCCAGAACCACATTCATCACGACATTCCTGCAAAGTGTGCAATGATTTAAATAACATTAATATATCCCCTAGAGGAAAGTATGTTTTAAAGTACCCTTTGAATTTAACATAACATTCTAACAGATCTACTGAGCAAACTGGTATAGCAATAATGTTCTAGATTTGTATCCAGGAGGTGCTTGCTTTAAATCTCAGATAGGACACCAGCTATCCTGACTAAGATTTGTACTGATTTTCCAATCCCTCAAAGTAAATTTCAGGACAGTGCCTTAATTAGGCCATGACCACTTCCTTCTAAATCTTTTCCACTTGATTATTCACCAATCATCTTACCATTTAATGTTATATAATCTACACACTGACAATACCATAAAATAAATAACAAAGAAACAAGAACTAACATAGCTGACAAGACACGCAGCGCAACACACAACAGGAGAGAACACAACCCACCAGCTCAAACACATATACGCTTTGAGAAGACTCATATATTAACAACATAAGCAACAACAGAAGACACTGATTTCCTCACCTAATAATTTTAACACCTGACGATGACCACATTGGTCGAAACATGTGGTGATGGACTTTTAAACTTAGAAGTGAAAAACTTTTAATACATTTCATAGAACACAGTGTTACACATGAGACTGTAACAAACTAATTGACACTTCCAGCAGGAGTTTTAAAAAATCCCAACGTCTTGCAAAGAACAGAGACTGGTGATGAAGATTTAGGTCTTCCACTGTAGACCAGAAACAAATTACTGAAATCTACAATGGAGAAGTCCTAATTTTCTTAGATCAATAGTAGTGTCAGTATCAAAATCAAAGGTTACAAATATGCTGATCTGCTTCTTTTATATCAAAGAAATCACCCACTATGAGTTTGTTCCTCCAAAACATACATTCAACTAGGAATTGAACTTTCAAGTTTTGGAACGTTTACACATGGCTTTTTTATCATAACAATCAATGGTCCTTCCAACACAACAATTTTCTTACCAAATATGAAGTACTGGGTTGAAAAATCCACCAGACCCAATTGACTTTGTCCTGCATGACTCTTCCATGTTTCGTAAGTTAGAAATTTTGAAAAGAACTCATCCTACGAGGGTCATACTGCAAGTCATGAGCAACAATTTTTTGTAAAGTAACATGCTTTATTATTGATAAACCAAATACACCACCTCAATCTACAGACCTTCTTTATTTTTCCACATAATTGCCACTTCTTTGTACACATTTCTTCCAGCGTTTTGGGAGTTTGAAAATTCCACTTCTGTAAAATTCCGTTCCAGCCATCTGAAGACAATGACGCACTGCTTTCTGAATTGCCTCCCTTGTCTCAAAACGTTGTCCACGCAGCTGATCCTTCACAAATCCGAAAAGATGGTAGTCGAAGGGTGCCAGATCGGGGATATAGGAGGGCTGTGGAAGAACTTCCTGCCCCATCTTTGCAATTACTTCCAATGTGAGGCACGCCATATGGGGGCGAGCGTTGACATGCAGGATGATGATGTTTCGTCCCAGACGTTTATCGCACAATGCACGATGGAGCTTATGCAGAGTCTGCACATAACAAGCAGCATTGATGGTTTGCCCAGGTTCCAGGAATTCAGCCAGAATAAACCCCTCTGCATCCCAGAAGACCGTGCCCATCACCTTCACAGCTGATGGCACTGTCTTTGCCTTCTTTTTTGATGGAGAATGCAAATGGTGCCATTCCATACTCTGCCATTTTGTTCCAGGCTCAAAATGGTGAAACCAGCTTTTGTCACCTGTCACGGTGCAGAGCAAAAAATCATCGCCTTTGTGTCGATATCTCTGCAGCAGTTCTGAGGTGATGGCTTTTCGCTGACCTTTGTGGTCTTCGGTCAATAACCGTGGGACTCAACAAGCACAAACTTTCCTATAGCCCAAGCTTTCAATCATCTCCTGTATTGCACTGTGTCCTGTTCCAAGTTTTTGGGCTATTGTGTCCACGGTCACACGCCTGTCACCTTGAATGATCTCATCCACTCTTTCCTTGTTGCATTCAGTTGAGGCTGTTCGAGGACCACCGTTACGAGGCTCATCTTTGATGCTGGTGTTCCCATCTTTAAAATGTTTCACCCATCTTCGAACACTGCTCGCACCCATGCACACACTTCCATAAGCAGGCTGAAGTCTCTGGTGAATTACTGCAGCAGGGATTTCCTTTTTCACAAGAAATTCGATGACAGCATGCTGGCGAAATGGCATATGGTTGTCGGCCATTTTGTTAGGAGTGATACTGGTCACATGATGTAAGCTATTGACGTCACAAGACACTCAAGGTTAACACAACAGCTGGTTCTACCTACCACCATACTCTCTTTCGTCTGCTGATCCCAGGTTGCACGCAAAAAAAAGTTGCTCATGACTTTCAGTATGACATGAAGAAATTCAAAGCAATGTGATGACAGTATCAAAGGATTTTTGGAAAATAATATCCAGCAATGTTTCCAAGCATGCAGAGACCTCGGAATGTACAGTACATATAAGGTAGTAGTTATTGAGTAGTTATTGACAATCACACTCACATGACAGCACACATGTGCACACACAAAATAATATTACCTCTGGTGATACAGCTTCAGTAGTTCTAGTGGTCTTCCCAAGCCCACAAAGCAAACAGCTGAAGCTACCCTCATTTGGCTGGTAGAAACCATGACCACAGCTTCTACATAACCCTGTCTCATCATCAAAGTACTTTCCTGCTGGACAACGTTCTGTAACCAGAAAAGCAAATGTTGAGATGCTAAGAATAGTCAGTAACATAAGTTTATCACAATTATGTTGAACATCATCCATTGTCTAAAACATATTTAATATTCATAATGTTTTGGTAGTCTGTGTATTCCCATCCTCAGATTATGGATTGCCATTATACTGAGTGATTTTTTAAAAATGATACAATGAATCAGCCACTGTCAAGGCCCTTTATTAGTGGGTAATACTTCATTTTAATGCTTAATCCTTTAAAATGAGTTTAACCACATACCTTTACAATCACTTGCACTTCTGGCACCTGGAGCAATTGTGACACCTTGCCGACCTGCGATGAGTGGACAGAGAGAACACTGCAGCTGTCCAGATTCACTTTGGTAGGTACCAAGAGGGCATGGCTCACATATTTGATGCTGTTCATCATAGTATGTTCCCACAGCACAAGGTACTATAAATAACAAAAATATAAATATCTAGAAAGGTTATGATGTTGAACAGAACGAAGTCATAAAATGCATACAATTTTATAAAGGAGGCAAGACAAAAATAGTAATTCCAGTTTTGTGTTACAGTTTTGAGAAGAGTTTCTCCATTGAAGAAAAGTATGCACAATCATTTGTAATATCTGAGAAACATCTATATCCTGAGAAATTATTCATTATTAATAATAAATAAAATCAAATATAAAAATAAATATTATTACTGACACTATTCATGTAAAAACTGGAAATATATATTATACTGAGATCACTGCATAGAACATTATATGAACCATAAAATAAGATTAGGAACATTACCGAGTACCAAATTTACAAGATTGCATATATGTTTGTATCACCAATGCAGATATAAATCATTCATTGATCTCTATATGGCATTATAGTTACCATATGTATTGCTGATGTCTAAATATCTGGTCAAATGTCAGAAATATAGGCCTTTTCGGGCACACATACTGTGTTCTAAATGATGGAAATATGTTCCAGTTGCCCATGCACTTAAACACTTTATCCATTTATTAACGCTTACCTTTTAAATTTTAGAAACTACTGACCGAGATTCCCATGTTATTAAATGGGAACAGGAATTTTACCTCTCTTCAAACTTGCATATTTTAGAGAAAAATTGGAATACACACAATAATCTACTGGTATGTAAAATGTACAAATGATAAAGTAGTTACTTATCATATCTGCAGAAAATAAGATCAATGGTAAAGTTTGGTAGTTCACAATAAGCAGAGATTGTGATTTGAATCAGAATAGCAGGATTATTCTGAACATTTTTCACATCCCATGTTATACATTTAATGATGTCTCCTAGTCACTACTGTCTCTTCCAGTACGTAGAATGAATGCAGAATGACTTACGATAATTTGGTAAAATTTAAACGAGACTATTTGATAACAGAAGAGGAATGCATACAGGGTTTTGGTGGGAAAGCTAAAAGGAAAGAGACCACTAGACAGACCTAGACATAGGTGGGAGGATAGTATTAAAATGGTTCTGAAGAAATAATATGGAGAGATGTGAACTTGATTTATCTGGAGGATCATGATAAGAACCTGTCTCAGTGATAACTGGCTTCTCAAGGAGGACTAGGCTCCATGGACTTAGTTTGCTGATACACATAAACTCTGTGATTTTAATTCACAAGCAAGCTATACCGACCAAGCGACTGCCGCTTGTCGGCGAACTTTAGTGCCAACTTTTGCGGATAGAGGGTGTCGCGTGGTCGGCGCAACGAATCCCCACAGTCATTAATTTTGGTTTTCTAGACCGGAGCCACTATTTCCTTGAAATAGCTCCTCAATTATCATCATGAGGCTGAGTGGACCCTCTTCCAGACCCACTACTTCTCAGAAAAAAACTGATAGTGCCGGGAATCGAACATGGACTTCTGGATCTGTACCCAGGAACGCTGATAACTAGACCAGAGAGGTGGTCTTATACACATAAAAGGAAAGTATTGTGCATGTCAAATTAATAATGTTATAATCAGATAACAATATTTAGCAAGTTACACTTGACATGCATGCAGAAACACTCATATGTATTCATGTACATTATCTGTTACTGCTGTCTGATTTTAACCAAATTTGGAATGGGCTGACAAATTTTTGTGACATTCTGCAATACAAATTTCATGAAAATCAGCAGTTCTGAAGTTGTTACCTGCAGAAAAATGGATGGACAGGCATGTAAAAGCTAACAGCTACATTTTCACAACTTTTCACTGAAAATTGAACAAAAAATATCCCTCCTTATGTAAACTGGTGAAAATTTCTTATTTCTTGTAATCCTTTTGCTACCAACCTCCTGCATGTTCATTGCAATAAATCTAGATCTACCAGACCAAATTAACAGAGTTGTGATATTCAAGATAAGGCCCTGTATGCTTCATTATGAAAAGTCATTTGAAATCACTAATGAAGATGAAGATTGGAAAATATGTTGCAATAGCATGCTACAGAACAGGATTTTTTAACATGCCAAATTCGGATTGGCCAAAAAACCACATAAAACAGGAAGAAAGCATCCAGGTTCATCTTTTGCTTCAAGATTTATAGCAAAACAAAACAAACTCCGTGGCCTGTCGTCCACAAGCAAATTATACCGACTGAGCAACCGCCGCTTGTCGGCAAGGTGAGTGCCAACTTTAGTGGATATAGAGTGTCCCATTGTCAGTGCAACAGATCCCCAAGGCAGTTAATATCGGTTTTCTAGACCGGAGCCGGTATTTCCTTTATATAGCTACTCAATTATCCTCACAAGGCTAAGTGGACCCTGTTCCAAGCTCACTACTTCTCAGAAAATCTGGTATTGCCACGAATCAAATCCAGGAACTCTGACCACTATACGACAGAGGTGGTCCAAGGTTTGTAGCATGTTATTTAATTATATTTATGTAATAAACACAGAATTTTTAACATAAAATGACTGCATAGTGGTATGAACAAATTTACAGACTTCACTATATGAATCCTCAATATATGAAGTTTTGGTGTAATAAAATTTGGACTTATTACTGTTATGCTATAATATATAATAATTACATTATCAGTTAACTTTAAAATGTAAGCATTCCACATATTATTAAATAACTGACTTTAAAGAAAAGAAACTAATAATTTGACTTTGTTTATATGGCATAAAAAAGGTAAGTACTGTTTTCAGTAAGAAGTGTTAAGTTTACAATATAACTGATATGTAAGGGAAGTTGTCAAGATTTTATGGTGGGAAATATGTTACAAAGGTTATGAATGCATCCCTATAGTATTAAAGTTAGAATTATTCAATATGCGAACAAAGCTTTGTGAATGCGTTCTCCTCATATATCAAGTTTTACTGTATTATGATGGCATTAAGAATGTTTTTTTCCACAAAATATGGACAATTATCAGAATTTCCTGAGGGCCAAAGTCAACTTACCACAGTCAGGAGCCATTACTACTTGTCCTATTGGACAAGCATAGTCTGACTTCAGCTGAAGTGATGCTGGATCAGGCATGGTGTTGGGCAATATATCATGAACATCAAATTGATCCTCTTCTAGAATCAGTTTCTCAAGGAGACGCTGCACGCTGGATCGCTCATTTGAATTGGAATTTATTACAGGGTCACTGAAGGGAAGATATTGGAATGTAATCAGTTTAGTATGAGTATTATTTATGTAAAACAAGACTGTAATACACAGAATTACTGGGTTTTTGGACTTTTTCCATTATCCGGAATTCTAGGTAATAGAATATACAACATTTTGGAAACTGGATCTGTTTCCGTTTTCAGGTGAGGAAGAAGACACCTACTCAGTTGGACCCGTTAGAAACAGCTAATCTCAATCACATCCAGTAATTGACCGAAATGTTGTGTCTTCTATTACCTAGAATTCTGGATGATGGAAAAAGTCCAAAAACTCAGTAATTCTGTGTCATCAACCATCATCAGAACCCTTTAGAATTTCCAAGATTGTAACAGCGTATAATGTGTACTTAACAGGTGCATTCAGCGGAAGGAATATTAAAGGAAATAATTATGACTACAATGAGCTCTTATAATAAATAAACATTAAATTTACATGTAACTATTTACTGTTATGATGAAAGTATAAGGGGTGGGCCTTCTCAGCCCCTGCACCATGACCTACAGTGATCTATTGTGCTTTACTGTTATGATACTCTGACTTGTAAGAAGTCACAACTATACACGCCTACTAAATGAATAAAGAATTACAGGAATGATGTGCAGGGGAGCAGAGGTAAAGTTCCAGTCTTTTTTAACCTTCAACACTAGACAGAGATTAGTGGAGAGCCACATATGCCTTTCACTCTACCCTTCAGGAAATAACACTTGATACTGATTGCGTAAGCGGCTGGGTGGGCTCTGAAGCAGTCTGGATACAGCAGCAAAATGTTCCGTATTGACATATACATGGTCTTCAATGTATGATGCTTTGAACATCAATGAATTGTGATTATTTGTATAATGTAAGAACCTGTACAATTAAAAAACTAACAAGAGCGAAGTTTTGCTTCACGCAAATATTTTTGCACATAGAAATTAACATTTGAAGCAAACCTAATTTCACAAGTTCAGTTCTGCACCTGAACATGCTTAGACACAAATACAAATGATGTCTGAACCAAAATATAATCTAAACATCAACCTTCCTGTTGAAATGACCTGGCTATGTGGACAGTATGCCTGCAGATAAGCCCAAATAGCAATGGCTATTTTGTATAAGGTTATCATAGTAACCAGTTAATAACACAAATAAAATTCTTATTTACTTATAGAATGAGATCAGAAGAATGAAGCAACTTCATCAACAAATCAGAAATGCAGCAACCTTATTCTACTATACTACAAAGTACAACATTCTTGCTCTACAGTCTTTCGTGTGAGCCTTCTGCCAAAAAAATGAAGGTTAATAGATGAAACAGAATGAGCTTACTTGACAGCTGGGAAGGAGATTTCCACATTGTAAGTGTCACTGGCCTGGCGAGCTTGTCTACCCAGCCTAGGGAAAGTCAAGAATAGCATCACATGCAGTGCCATTCAAAATTATCAATGCACAAACTACAAATGTTTCCAAAAACATGGAGGTGCATATACTAGGTGCAAACTATTCATTCAAAGTGTGCTACTATACTGTTGCAGGCAACAGTGAATATATCTTTTCATGCTTCTATATTACATTAAAAATGTGAGTGCAAATCTAAATCAATTGAAGAAAAGATAGACAAATAAATAGATATTTATACTACATAACTTTACAGTACCTGTGCTTCTAGTACACTACATATTCATTCAATTAAGATAGGGTAATTTCAGTTTCATTATATCTACAGATAGGGTAATCTAATTTTTTTCTTACAGTATGCAAGTCATTAACTGTTTTCTTACACTATGAAATTTTTAAAAATTAGTGCTCCAGCATAACAAAAATAACCTGCACAGTCACATATTTCTGACCATTTTGGTTAGCATAATAACTAGACTTATGGGGTGATATATTTCAGAAACTTTAATCTTTATAACATGAGATACTTTGGCTACTATCTAATGACATATTATTGTGTCAGTTGTAGGCCATTACAGACATTTTCTGAAAATGTGAATATTATTTTAATTTCTAGTTCTACAATTTGCCAATAGGTATGTTAGCCATTGCTTAAAATATAATTTTACATTCCTGTTAACACATGACCTCAAAATGCTTCATGTCGACAGTTATGTTCAAGATTTAAAAAATTCAATTAAAAAATGTGATGCAAAGCTCCAACCACTACAGTGCAAGCAATACTGAAAAATACCATGATTAAGTGATCCTTACTTGTCCACAGGGAAGCTGGCATTTAAGACATATCTTCCTTCTGGTTCCTCAATCTGTCTTGTAGACCGAGAGCGATGGTCACATTTCACATCAATGTTCAGATCTTTGCACTCTTGAGTACCTGACAAATTATAATTAAATCACAAAAATTATTTGCCCAATAAAATATATGATTCACTATTAATAGTATTTAATTTGAAAGATACAGTCTTTGAAGACATACTCCTTTAATTTAAAACAGTTGTAAAATAATTAAATATAGTGGTTTACAACAATCCCTTCTTCAGTCTGTGTTTGTATAACTTGCCCTCAACTGTATGATCAGAATCAAAATGATGCTCATGTTGAGGTTTCCATAACTCTGTATCTTACAGAGTTACAGTGTATGAAGTCCAGAATCATATGTCCTGCATGGAAATTATATATTGTGACATGTTGCACAAAGGAGAACCCCCCCCCCAACCAGCAGTGACGCGGCGGGTGAGTCAGCGCTCCCCTCCCCCTCCCCCGCTCGGTAACGTAACGGTGACGCAACAGGATTGCGAGAGACGACGGTGGTAACAGCGGTTACTACCGCTAGCGTTACTAGCAACACAGCGCCAGGCAACAAGGGTGCTTATTACGTGGCCGTTTTCTGTATGGTCCGATCGAGGCTACATGAGGCGCAGCGAAGGCTATTCACAGTGAGTCAGTTAGTCCTGGAGCTACCTACGAGTCAGTCCTCGAGCTACTCCCGAGTTAGTTCCGAGTTAGCCAGCAACTAGTCAGTTGTATTCTGGCATTTGGACTGTACTAATTGTGATACTGCAGATAGCAGTAATCGTAAATCTGTAATTTGGGTGATTGTAAGAGCGGATGTGAAATAAAATTCGCTATATAAAATACGGCGTGAAGTTATTTGTCGCGTTATACGCCCAATACGCAACAATATTATACTGGTTACACAGGTGTTCCTTGCATATATGATAGTCTTCAATTTATTATTTTAGGTTATATAAGTATTCAATAAGTTGACATAAACCTGAACTAAAAGACATATTAGTGAAAACCTATACAAACACAAATACCCAGACGTTTCACACGAGCATATTTATTTTATGACAGTTAAATGCATTTTACCTTGCCACAGTTGCAGAGGTTTATAACACATTCAAAATATTATGGTGAATTATTATTAAACATTAGAACATGAACAAATTTCCTCAGTTAAATGGAAAATAATTAGTATTAAACAAAGCCTGTAAAGTATTCAAATGGAACGGTTATAATAAAGTTCATCCAACCAACAAAACGTTACAATTTTGAATGCATGATGTAGTCACATAATTTTCTTTTTAACGCCTTCACTTATGGTCTGTTCACTTTCCTGGACGTTGCAGTCTGGAAAGAAGTGTGGAAACCATTTCTGTGATAGCAGCACACATAAGGCAAGATGCTATATTTTCTTTCAATAATAGGGTCACAATGAAGATGAAAAGATATCAGGGAAACACAGAGCTTAACATGGACTCAAAAGCAGAATTGGGTGCTGCAATTCCTCACATTCATCAAGTTTACGATTTTGTAAGAAATGAGAAAACATGAATGTATGTAGTAAAATGTATGTTGGACATAAGATCTTATGCATGAGCATCTAATGCCTTAACTTCAGACAACCTAATCCACATTAAAAACTTAAAACTCTCCAACAAGTAAAGCAGTAGATTATATAAACCCATGACCTTGAAATTAAATTTCACTCTTCCTTCTGCTTTTTAAGTATGATGCTACAGGTCTCTTAATGTATGAATAGAACAACAAAATGTGACTTCTCCAAAAGATTAATGGCGAAACTAAATTTATGTGCCATATTTAGTATCATGAATTTCTGGGTTGTAACTTGTACTTGAATTTATAAAGCACTTACTAAATAAATATTATCAACAGTACCAAATGACACAAGATTAACAGTACAATTAAAATGCATTTCATGAAGCACATTCTAAAATTAAATGAAGAAAAGAGTATGGATTTACAAATTTTACCAAAAGCAGGTGAATCTGGGAATAGTATGTTGAAAAAATATGAATATAAAATAATCACCCAAAGTGCTGCTTTGCAGATATTTTAAAAATAGAAACATCTTGTTTCCTAGCTTCTGTAACAGGCCAAGTGCATCCAATATTAGGAGGGAGCAGGAGAAGGAGGAGGACAAGGATAATGATAATGGTCCAGTTTAAATCTTAGTAACTGTGTACAAGCTGTAGTAGCATAGTCAGTATAGTGAATGGCTATGGGCTGGATGACTGAGGGTTCAGAGTTCAAGTCCTGGTGGGGTCAAGAATTTTCTCTTCTTGAAGTCTTCCAGACACGCTCTGGGGTCCACTCAACCTATCCAATAGTTACTGTGGGCTGTTTCCCCAGGGGTAAAACGGCCAGGGCGTGAAGCTGACCATTCACCTCCAGCTAGAGCCAAGGTCAAGAAAATGTGACTCTATACATCCACTCCAACATATGCCTTTATGGCGCAGTGCTTATTTTGTTAAACACAGGGACAACTTTACTTTTTACTAGTATTTTATAAGAACTTTAATTCCAGAAACATTTTAGGTTAAGTAAATAAAATGTTTATAGAGTTCAGTGAAATTTTTTCCAAAACTTTAAACATTAGACATGCCATAAAATATCAGGATTAAAACAAACCTTCAACAGAGTAGGAGCAGAAATTCCAGTCACGGTTGAGAGCATTAACTGCACTGCGTACCTTCTGCCGCAAAACACCTTGACCAGCACTGTTACACAGCACAGAACTAGGGAACAACATGCTGATCTTGAAAACTCTCTGGGCTGACTTAGATGCTGTAATTATACAATAGAGCAACAGTATTACACATTTGGAAGCCACTGGAAAAATTATATGCAAACATTGACAGCTACACATGTGACAAGGAAATATCTTACTCGCAGAATGCTTACAATACTGAATATTTACTTTATTTTAGCATCATGAGGCAGAACATTGGCATTAAAAATTATTACCTGACATTGGCTCAAATTTGTTGGAAATAGTGCAAAGGAACCTCACCCTAAATCCCCCACACTCAAAAATCAGTCAAATGAAAAACCAAACATCATTAATTGTCCTGATACAGGATCGACTTTGTGTGGTGTCACATATATTCAACATGAAAGAAAGACCTCTACTAAATGTATGCCCTCCAATTGGATAATCTGCTTTGGTATAAACTCACATTTTCATATTTACCATACTAATATAAGCTTCTTAAACAGAGTTGTATCACAGTATGGATGGAATATATTTCCAGAAATGTAAGTACTGTACATTGGGATTTGTATGTACAAAATATTTTTATTTCAGGAATTCATAAACACTGTTGGAAAGAATGATTTTTGTAACAGTATTAAAATAACATTACAGAATTCTGAAGTTCGTTATCCTTCTGTTTTTATTAGACAATTTTAGCAATTATAGTTGTGACAATACATACAGTTCTTCAGTACTACACCTTTATCATTTAAATTGCTAGTTTTAAAATCAAATTGCCCATCCCATCTTTTAAGTCAACACATTCTATGTTATAGATTAAACTACAAGTAAACACTAACCAACTTGACTATTTACATGGTATTGTCACAGGTTTGTGCCAAGATACAGGGTTCAGATTGATGACTGAATTTATGGGGCTCTTATTGCTCTTAACTACAACCAATTATGACACTTTTGTTATTCTTCATGATCTCCAAATAACTACAGTACTTCGCAAGTCTGTCCACTCTGCTATATTTTCACATACTTATTGCTTCATGACAGCTTCCTATAACCACCACCCTCCCTATTAATTCTGTGCTCAACAGCTTCCATTCTTGATGGATCCCATTCAACCGCTCCCCACTTTGGGTTTGGTTCACGTTTGAGTGTAATAAACTGCTACTGGCCCTTACCAGTACAGTCATACTTGTTTTCTGGTCCCATGGGGCGTATGACCATATTTTTCTCTTTCATAACTCTGAGAGTCATGCAACTCTGGATCTTACTGGTTCTCCTTACATAGATTTGGCATGGACTGACTAAATATTAAAAATTCGCTTAGTGGGGGGTGGAGTCTAACTGGGTCCACTCAGCATGGCAGACACTGATTGGCCTATTTTAGCATGCCCCAGGTGATTATGATGGAGAATTTGGTGGAATGAAGATTGGCAGGGGAAATCAAAGTACTCGGAGAAAACCCACCCCAGCTCCACTTTGTCCACCACAAATCTCACTCGACCAGACCCAGGATCGAACCTGGGCTGCCGCGGTGGGAATCTAGCAACTAACTGCTTGAGCTATGTCGCGGCCATGGCATGGACTGATAGTCACATGCATATTCATTGCCATGGTAGCATGTTTCAACAAACCACTACATAGCAATGGATGCTTCCATGACACTTTTCTGACTCCAAAATTCTGACTTTTAGGTCTCTTGTACATTAAGAATATAATGTATTTGGGATGAGAGAATGAGAATTGGTAACTATTTTTACCTTTGATTAAGAAGGAATTATACTTACCAGTACATGCAGGATAAACAAGAGGTAGATTTGGATCATTTGTTGGGCGCCAGAAACCTTCTGCATCACATGTATAGAATTTAGGAACTGTCTGTGAGAACCGAAGTCCTGGATTGCAAGCAATTTCACACACCTTAAACTGCCCTCCTGAGCCCCAGTCCTTACACATTTGTGTCCCTCCAATTGGATCAGAAAGCTCAGGACAAAATTCAGCTGAAAGTAAAGTTTCTCTAATAAGTGTGAGGAACATATCTTATAAAATAATAAGAAATTCTTGGAAGAACTAATTGCCTACTTTCCCTCCACTGTAATTTGAATATTTGATAAAAAAAACTTTAATATACAGGGCGTTCAAGCAAGGAGGAAACTTCGCAATACCTCTGACCGGGCCCAATATTCCTCACACATTGCTGCTGTTAACTGCCGATACCGGAATGAGTCATTAACACTGATAAATGTGCACACTCTCGCTAGCATGGAGTGGATGGAATGTTTCTCCGCGACTATTCCCTCACATCAGTTTCTGTACATGCACACATTATAAGAATACTGTAAAAATATAACACAAATTTGCCTTGCTTTATAACAGATTCTGAAAGGGACCCCCTTGATTGCAAACATGCCTTGCATCACATAAATAAATTATGCAACACTTTCTGAAGTTGGTACACAGTATTTGAACTAATTACACTTGTTATTTCATTCTGCAGAGCTTCAGTGGTGTGAGGATTATTCTTGTAGAATTTTCCCTTTAGGTTTCCCCAAAGACAAAAATCACAAAAACTGAGATCTTGGGATCTGGGAGGCCACCGTCTCCTGCTGATTATTCTGTCTTCAAATACTTCCTGTATTGCGACCATGGATGCATTAATCGTATGTGCCATAGGGTTGTCTTGCTGAAAATACCCATATTGTCTTTTTTCAGCAGTCAGCTGTTTGAAGAACGGATTCAGAATATCATTAACATAGTGGTCAGAGTTCACGGTTTCGTGAAAAAATAAGGGGGCCCAATAATTCACTGCAGACTTACAGCACACCACACACCCACCTTTTCACTAGGTAATGGCACTTGCTGCATAGCGTGAGGATTTTCATCGCTCCATATTCTTGCATTTTATGAATTGACATGACCACTAACGTGAAACCATGCTTCATCAGTCATGAACTGAAGCTGTGGATCCATGATTCCATCGTGCACATTTTGCAGCAGCCAGTTGCAAAAACGAATTCTTGTGCATAATCTAGTTGTTTCATCTCACGTACAACTGTCATTTTATAAGGGCAAAATCTGATAAATTTTGTGACTGTGAAAGCAGATCCTGGTGAAACATCGGTTTCCTGTGTTAAGCGTCTTAAAGATTTTCGAGCACTGATCTGTAGTTGTGCCTCAATATCCTGAAATGTTTCTTCAGTCAGCACAATCCTCTTCGATTGCTTCTTTATATCACACATTGAACCTGTGGCCCGCCACTTTTTCACAAACTTGGATACACATGACTTTGTGGGAACTGGCGAATTAGGTTATTTAGGAGGAAACTTACAGATACATTGTTTGAAAGTTTTTTCCTTGCAAAAGTTTTGACAAAAAACTCACGCTCTTCAATAGTGAACTTCATTTCAGCATAAATGTTGACTGCCTATCGACATCTCTAACACAGACTGACTATTAATGTGACTTAACTGCAGTGGTAAGATCACGCCACCCAATGGCGAGCGTTTATCGGCGCTAATGACTCATTCTGCTATCAATGGTTACAGCAGCAAACTGTGAGGAATGTTGGGCCCAGTCAGCAGTGTTGTAAAGTTTCCTCCTTGATTAAACAAAGTGTATATCCATAATGAAGAAAAAAACACAATTTTAGAGGCTTTAGTTTTCATATTACTGAATGGAGTGGTTTATGAAATACACCATTCAGATGGTCTCAGGTGGCATTATATTATATATTTTGGCATCTCGCTGTATTGAGGTATCATCCTTTTGCTATAGCAAAAAGGATGATCAGGTGGCATGATATATATATATCAAGTTTCATGACTATCGATTTGGAATTCAAGGAATATTAAGGTTATTTATTACCTTATGCCATTGTGATGGGCTCAGGTGCCATACCAAGTTTCAAAAAGATTACTTTAGGAATTCAAATTTGTTAGGGGAATACATATATAGACACACAGACATGCAGAGAACAAGAAGTTCTTATAAGTCTACTTCCATTTTAAAAAATAAGGAAAGTAGGCTAAAAGTACAGAAATGTTTTCATTTTTCAAAATTATAATAGAGTTAAGTGATATAATAAATTTCTAACAGACACAAATATATCTCAGTCTTTTTAGAAATGCAACTGAATATGAAAAAATGTTCAAATATACCTGCAGTTTTTTTTCATCAGTTCCATTTCATTAATAAATTATAAACAGTTCAGCCCTTTTACATAGGATGACCAGATTACTTTAACATTTGAAACTTTAAATTAAATATCAGGTTTCTCAATGAAATATTTCAAAATGGACAACTGACCCACATTGAAAATTATAATGAATATCAGCCCTTTGACATATCACTTAAATTTATCTCATTCACACAGCAGAAATCAGTCCATTCAAACTCTCTTTAAATGCTGTGGTTTGTAGCAATTTTCTTTATTGACTATACACCATCCAGACAAATACCAGAACAATAGCTCAAATTTGGACCTGACCAGTTCCTTGAACATTCTTTGCAATTCAGTAATCATCCTGCTATTTGCCACTATACCCTCTGAGCTACTTAGATTATCATTAAATAAATAAAAATAAATAAATAGATAAATTATATTACAGGCCCTTCATATTGCAGATATAATATACCACAAACACACTCTTCCTATGGAGCATAGAAAGTGAATTAAAATTACTATTTAATATTACTGCCAACTTACCAAGCATGTAGACTTTGAATGAACATGTCGCTGAATTTCCGGCTCTGTCATAGGCCACGTAAGCCACTGTGTATGTTCCCCACATAAGTGTTTGACCAGGATAATGGTTGTCTTTTCTTTCTATACGGACAACTCCCACATTGTCATTGAAAATGGGTTCATCCCACCTAACTATTGCTGAACCATTTTTAGCAATAACCCAGAGATCACCAGGGCAGTACTCAACAACTGGTGCCACCTGTAAGAGACAGCTTAGCATCTGTATAGAGGTTCAATTAGAGAGAAACCTAGGACATTTGGAATAAAAACAATATTTTTTATTGTGAATGATTAAGAAAGATTAATTTGTTTATGCTGTCTTTGTCAGTTATCATGGCATAATATATTAAATGACGGTTTTATTGTATTTAGGAGTCAGTATAGAGATGGACTGCAGACTGCAAGGTTGAGGTTCAATTCCCAGCCGGGGGATGATGTATCTCTTCTCTACTGTGTCTGAGGCTCACCCAGCCTCCTGTCCAGTAGGTACCATAGTCTGTTTCTGCAGGGGTAAAGTGGCGGGGGGGGGGAGGNAACACTCGCCTACATCTAGTGCCAAAGTCAAGACTGGTGCTGCTATACCTCCATTCCCCTGTATGACTTCATGGCATAGTGCTTAATTAATGAAACACAGGGACAGTTATGTCCATGATTTATTTCAACAGTCTTCCAGTGCATACACTCATCTATCTCCTCCTCTCACTCGCACTACATGTTTCGGCACAAAAGTGCCATCTTCAGGTGCTTATTCGATTTACGCTAACAGTTATGCCTCTTCTTTTTTTGTATTTACATATCTGCACTTATATTAAAAGTTTAAGGATAATGAAAGGTTAGTGACAGATATTTCATACTCTTACAACATTTAGAAATTATCACTCTAATGTAGAATAATACAGAAGAAAATGTTTGAAAACCTTTATCATATTCTTGGAAATCTGATCAATGGATTTTACCTAGATACTGTTGCAGTACCCTTAGTTTTAACTTGATTCTGTATTAGAAATCTGGTTAATTATTTCATCTTACTGAGGCAGATTATTCAGCCAAATGCTCAATACTAAATATTGAATGTAAAAAGAAATATTGCAGATAATTTTCCAAGCTTTGTTAATATTAAAAGTATAGTATAAGCAGATCAGAACTACCCTTCTACATATAACAGTAAATGAAAGAGTGTGTAAGAAGTTAAAAAGAGGTAAATTTGTGCCTATGTTCAATTAGCATCACACCATGAAAATGCATGGGAGACTGAAGGTACGGCACTAAGCATCCTTAACCACGGTACTCGACAGAGGTGAGCAGTCAGCATCACACCTTGAACGCCTTACCTCTATGAAAGAGCCCCTAGTATCCATTTGGTATGGGCTGGATGGGTTCCAGAGTGATTTGGACATTGTACAGAAGAGAAGTCTCTGCTCCTACCAGAAATCTAACTTTGTATCCTCATCACTAAACTGATTGAACTATCCCAGCTTGAAACATATTCATTGCACTTTGCCTAAATTAAATATTTTTTAGTCATTGTGGCCAAGACATGCCCATAGTTTTAAAATTTAACGTTCATACATTTATGGAATATAATATGGCATATTTGCTCAAAGCAAGAATTGTGGAGCCACAGAAACAGCTATTGCTAGGTAATGGCCATGTAAATCGATACAATGGGGTAACTGCTGGAAGCGGTGTTTGCTGTGCTGTCCATGCCGAGGCTATATAATTACGGCAAGCTGTCATTACTAGACAGGAGTCAGACTCTGCGAGTCATAGGAGGCGACAAAAAGGGACGTCTCAAATCTGAGACAAGAAAACATGGTCACAAGTACCAACGTACTCGGTCCCGAGAAAGACTGCGCTGGCAAAGACCAGCAGCATATACAAAAGACAGATCTGTCCTCTTGTCAGAGAGGGCACCCCACACACAAAAAAAAAAAAGACCATTACTGTCAAACAGTAATAAATATCTGATCATGAGTCCCAGATGGGACTCAACACCAAGACTTACTGACTGACTGACCGTCAGTTGCAATGTGATTTTGACTTTGACTTACAAGACAGTTTTTGAGACAGCAATTAGAAGGGTAGGAGGTTGGTGTGAGATGGCCATCAGCCTGCAAAGGATATGAGCTCAGAAGCAGGGGAACGTCCACTGTTAGAAGACATTATCAAGCAGAGCAGCAAAAACAATGATTGAGAACACTAATCTTAATGTGATAGTGATTTATGAAGCATAGGCATGGGCTATATGAGAATCCAATTAATCCGACTGCCAATCCAAACCAATCTATAGTCACTCAAATGCATAAAAACAGTTAAATTCAGCAATACTGATTTGTAATGGGACTACTCAGAAAAATGTATATTTGGAAGATGAGGTATAGGTTCTCTCACAGCTATACAAACAAATACTTTTAAAAGACTAACTAGACTTAAATTTCCTAACAATGCAGAGATGCTCTACAGACCAATTTTTCTGGTCTATCCGAGTTCTCAGTTCCATGCTAAAGTACATAACTATGTGATCTCTTCAAAAAGTTTTGGAATTCCTTTTTTTATACATTTTTCAGACATGCCTGCAGATGAGTGAGCCTTCTCACCTTTAAAGGACTCCACCCTTGCATTGATTCACCACTCCAAACACCATTGCCACTTTTGGAAACAGTCTTTGTATGCCTTTTTCAGGATCATGCGTAGCTCCGTCTGTGAATTTTCTGTTATCTCTTGCATTGTCTGAAATCACCGTTCTTTTGAAGTGGGTTTCAGTTTGGGAAATAAGAAAAAAGTCTGCCAGAGCCAGGTCAGGTGAGTAGGGTAGCTGGAGAAGCACAGTTGTGTTTGTGTAGGCCAGAAGGTCATGAATCAGTAGCATTGCATGAGCTGGCGCATTGTCAAGATGGAGTAACTAGGAATTGTTTCTCCACAACTGAGGTCTTTTTCTCCTCATATTTTCTCTTAGGCATTTCACCACGTCAGGATAATACCATCAATTCGCTGTTTGCCCACGACGTAGGAATTCATGATGCACCACACCCTCGATGTCAAGAAAAACTGTCAACATGGCTTTCACACTTGACATGACCTGGTGTGCTTCTTTCAGTCTCAGTGAATATTTTCCAGCACATTGTGAAGACTACATTTTCATTTCCATATCATATCCATAAACCAATGTCTCATCACTGGTTATAATTCTTTTCAGAAAGTTTTCATCCTTGCTAGCGTGATCCAGAAGCTCGTAACAGATGGCAATGCAACTGTCTCTCGGATCTTGTGTCAGAAATCATGGGACAAACTATGAAACTACACAATGCATTTCTAATAGTATGGATTGGATTGATATGGCTCTTGATAGGGACTGATGGAGGGATCTCATGAACATGGTAATGAACCTCTGGGTTCCATAAAATGCTGGGAAGTTCTTGAGTAGCTGCACAATTCACAGCTTCTCAAGAAGGGCTCAGTTCCATGAGTGAATGTCATGACATGATCCTATTGATATTGTAACGTGTTTACGTTACTGAAGACGCCGTAGAGATGGCTAATTGGTTTATTTAACAATCTACAAATAACGGCTACAATTAATTATCACACTATTACGGGTTTCCACACTTTACAAACCCTACAACAAAATCTCTTAACACAATCTTCACTTGTCTTCACGTACTAATAACGCGGGAGCTATACAAGTCTCCCTGAATTACACACTCCGAGTATAACTGTACTACCGCACTCACTATGTCTGGAAAGCACACGAAAAGTCTTCCGCTCACTGACTTCTTAAGTATCGCACCCTCACAGGCTGTTATGTTTCAACTGAACTGGTAGCTGCTGTGAAGTCCACTTATATAGCCTTGCGCTGTTGCTAGTGTGACGTGGCGTATAGCCTAGGACGCTGTTGCTAGTGTGATGTCACCGCTGTTGATTAGCATTGCGTAGTTGCCAGGTTACGGGGCTCGGCTATCTTCGGCTCCGCTCGGCTCTCTTCGGCTCCGCTCGTGACGTCACCGCGCGTTGCGCATTGCGGGGTGATTACTCACCTATTACGCGAGCGCTCAGTTACCGCTACGTGGAGCTGGGGCGGTAGGGATCAACATGTCACAATATGTTGCACTCCTCTGCTATTTCCCACATTGTCAAAGGATGATTAGAACTCACAATTTCATGAACTTGTGCAGCATGGGCATTGTCACATGGCATTGAATGCTGTCCCAAAAGCAGCGCATTGTGTCGACTAACGACCATCCTTAAATCACTTAAATCATTCATAACAGTGTGTACGGGCTCTTGCGCTGATCACCATAAACGTTTGTCATCATTTCATGAGTTCCACAAACGTTTTCCTTAGTCTGAAGCAAAATTTAATGTTAATACATTACTCATGAATATCAGCCATCTTGAATATCACAAAACACACTCTACATGCATGTGAACAAATAGCTCTAGGGTGATGACAGCAGGATGACATGGCAAAGAGGATGATAATTAGGAGCAATTCACTAGGCAGCACAACTTCCTCAACATTGCTAAGATGTCGAATTGGAGCACTATTTCAAAAGTTCAAAACTCTTTGAACAGACCACACACATTCAATACATAATAAATGTTCCAAGAGAATGCTGAATTCCATTTTTCCATTTGTGACTATGATACAAATATTGTGTTCATTCCTCACCTTGTCAACTTGCAGCTGTTCACAATGAGCCCCACCGTACCCTGCAAGACACACTCTTTGGCCACAGTAAGAAGGCACCACTCTTTCCACTCCACCTACTGTGTCATCATATCCAGCCCAAGTCAGGGTGAGACCACGGTAAAGCACAGGTTCTGTGCGGCAATCTCTAACCTATAATAAATATAATTCAAATGATACAATGTAGCTATATTTATACTCATATTTTATTTATATCCATTTCATGAAAAGCTCTCTAAGATTTGTAGCAATGATTCATCAACTATATGAACATATAACTATTATGTTGGATATTATCCATTGTCTGAAATATGTCCAATGCACAACACATTTTGGGAGCTGGTTCAATTCCTATTTTCACTACTCCAAGAAGTCGTACAGGAAGTGTATCGATAAAACATCACATATTTTGAGCCTCAAATGTAGATGCAGTGATTGATCAACTTCATGCTCTAAACCATGGGTTCCAAATTTTTTTTTTTTTGACCATGGGCCCATTACGATGTTTTTTCTTGGGGGGGGGGGCCAGATGAACCACATTTTAAATGAGTGAAATACTTCTAGAATTTTGAATAGAATGAGAACAAAAAATTTAGTCAATACTTATGCCCCATAACTTTGGAAATGAAAATAACAAAGACTTTACCATGAAAGCCACATGTTTACTTGTCCATAAATAAAAAATTACAATGCTGATTAAAAACCAACGTTTCAGAGATCTCATTCATTTCCGTTACCAGTATCAACCCTGATGATGGAGACAGAGGAGATCTCTGAAACCCTGGTTTCTTACTCAACATTGCGATGACTAATTTCCTGAGAAGACTTTAGCACATTTACTAGCTATGAAAGTTTCAAATCTTCCAAATTTTCATAACTTAACAAAAATAAAAACTGACCTATAGTATAATTATTAATAACTCTTTTGTAATAAAATATCAGTTCATGGCCTAGAACAGTAATATTATTCAAAACAATGACCTGAGCATCATAGTCCAACAGACCATTAATAAGAGGATGCACAGTGAATCCATGTAAGTGGCTATTAATATAGATATTATCTATTAAAGTACAAGAATTATAAGAAATATGTGAACTTACCTTTCAATGTTGTCCCTTAGTGTTACCTTCCCATTACCAATCAATTACAGTAATTTAATTCTGTAAGGTACAGTACCTGTTTTTGAATCTCATTTGTAACATCCAGTGCCCTTGCCCATATCTGTACTTTTGTCAAATGTCCCTGGAACCCCGATTGTGTGTATGCTTTAGGATTGTCACTGTTTGGTTTTCCAAGTGTTACCCAACCACTGTAAAATTAAAATAACCATAAAGAATTAGAATGAGATAATATGAGGCCTTTTTGCTATGTGTAATCCTGCCACTTTCCTACTTCTGTCTGCTGTAATAGTAAAGGAGGTTAACCTGATGATTCAGCACTAGTAAGAGAAGGTGTATACTCTAGTTTCATGTCCACTTGTGACTAATTGTTGTGCAAGCTTGACTGTGTGTTGGAAACTGTAAATTTACATTACAGTATCAATGTTTTTACAAGAATCTTATAACTCTACTAGGAAGAGTGTGAGGGAATTCATAAGAAGGTTTTCTAGAATTGAAATTTCCAACAGAAACACTGTTCAGAATCTTGTCAATAAAGGAAGAACAACTGATGTGATAACAGACAGGGAAGAAAGTCAACTTCAAGAATGAAAAGATGGAAAGTTGGACAGTACTGGAGTTCAACTTGAACATTCGCTTAGTAAATCTCTTAATCATCTTGCATAAAAAATAGAAGAATCAAAAGTGCCACAAGAACCGTTACAACACTGCTGAGACTACAACCTTACAAAACCTCAGTTGTGCACTGCCTGTGGTCACATGATTCAGAACTCAGACTTAATTTCTGTAACTGGCATCTATAGTCAATTCATGACTATGGAATTCACTGAATTTTTTTTATAAAGCTTCATTTCTTTTGAATGGATATGTGAGCACACAAAATATTAGATGCTAAAACCACAGAACATCTGTATATTAAACATTAATTTCCACTATTTATTGGGATATTTAGAAGATAATTTCTACTGGAACATCAATACACAAGAAGTAGACTCAGAGAAAATATTGTCTTGAAATATCCCTCATGTCCAGAGATGAACTATCTGAATTAACAGGGAAGATTTAAGCATCTCCTCTAATATATGGAATACAAACTACCCCATTCAAAGTTACTTCAGTCTCATAATGACTGCAACTGATCAGGAGAAACTGCAGTGTTTGCACATAACAAAAAGGCTGTACCGTGTCACAACTGCCAGAAAATCTCCTTGCTTAAAACATCATCATATGAAGTTCAAATTCTTCAACAAAGATCAAATTCATGTAACCACTAATAAGAATTAATCAAAAATAATGTGTGTATAATAATGTTTGATGATAATTCTTGCAGTGAAAGTATATAATATTGTTACTTATAAGTATTAAATAACAAGCCATATTTGCACACAACCTTTCATTTACTGTCAGATTCTATTATTAAACATTTTATGGCATCACACTCAGGCACTATTCTTAGACCATATTTGCCCACAAGTTTTTAAATACTATCACAACCGACCACTGAACATTGGGTTACCATTTTTATGACAAAAAAGGTCAACCATCTCCAGAAATATTAAGATTTTCTTTGGCATGAATTCTCAGGGTGAATATGTGCAACTGGAGGCACAAATATTTCTGGCAGAAGTAATGGCCCCCCTTAAGCTTATGACTACTTTTACTGACTGACTGACTGAGCATCAGAGTTATCTAAAACATCTCTGATGGTAAGCCATACCTTCAGTAGGCAGCCTTGCAGAAGAAAAATCTTGGGTGTTCAATAAGCTCTATGGTATGGTGATTTTGGTTTCAACCATATGGAGAAAATATAATTTATACAGTTTCTAACGATGGCCTCTTATGAATTTTTAAGAATTCATGATGCCATCATTCAATTTTTAGTAGAGTTTTATGAATTTAAGTGAGTCATGATAAGATGTTAATTTTTGGCAAATTTCATGTGCTCATCATTTTGTGCTATACTTGTGATTTTAAAATTTTTTTTACATGTATAACATGTAAAACAAGGAAAATTTGAGTATGTTTAGTTTCATATTCTATATTTTCATTTCATACACTGGAAATGCATTTCCCATTATTTTCAAGCTAAAATTTCATCAATAGTAGAATTTTGGCTTATCTAAGAATTTTGGTTCGCCTTAAATATAAATGAATTTTCCACATATTTCTCATGTCCATCAACTTATTTAAAATGCCACATCAATTATATTACATTTCCTGTACTTCATTTAGTACACAGTATAATGTTTAAAATGTAACAGTCATAACTTTATGGTCGTGATTGTGGGAAATTACTTTTTACAACTGCTAAAATAAATCTCTACTCAGCAGCCAATTTCTACAGGAACAAGTTGTGTGTTGATTGGAGACATGCCTGCAAACACTTCTCAGTGTATTGTACTCACTTCTGGGGAAGCTTCCTTCCACTACCATAACTCTCCACTTTGCTGGCAATGAGGCCTTCTGTTATTAGCCTAAGTTCACCACCCATCTGTCCATCCCACACAACAGCAATATGATGCCACTGACCATCATTAATTGTAGCATATTCTCGGAAACTGAGGAATACATCCTGTAAGTCTGGGAACAAGGAGACTTGAACACCATTGCTTTGTGCCTGTACCATAACACGACGCTCGCTTGCTACATGAGCAGATCTGTAACACATATTATCACCTGAGTATTATTATTGTTATTATATGTATTTATAACTCATTTTGTAACAATAATACGCTTCATATTGACTTAATTAACACTTACTGGTAATGCGATTAGGAGCAACAGTAACAAATATGAAGACATTAATGGTGGGGGAAAAACACACACTTGCATGCATGCACGCACCCACACACGCGTGCACACACACACACACACAAATGTGCACCAAACTTTTTCAGTTTGTCTGTCTGTTCATTTCACCCCATTTCTCCAAATTGCATATTGGAGAAAAAAATTGGTAAAGAAAAAAGGTATTCTGTTTGCAAAGACAGTCACAAGCAAATAATTAATTCTGCTGCTATATGTATTGGCGGAAGTCCAAGCTAACTTTTCTGTCCATTACTCTGTTACAGTTATGGATGTTAAATAAATGAATCAATCAAAGACACAGAGATTGTGACAACAATGGGATCATTTCCAGGATACAGAGGAAAATCCAGATTATTGCCTGCTATTGCTTCAATACAGGAAACATAATAAAATCTTCTGCCAGTACCAGGATATTTATTTTATTTAATTAGCAGTGTATTTAGGTATAAAGGCATTTAATCACTTACCTCCTTGCATAAAAAAATTGTCTGATAATAAGAATCAATTTAAAAATACTCTAAAAAACTACCTTCTATTGAATTCTTTTTATTCTCTGAAGGATTTTTTAATAGTAATTACTAATTTTAATGTGAATTTTTAAGGTTTTATGTATTACAGGTGCTTTATTTTGGCATAATGTTATCATCTACCTTTTCGTATGATGATTTTTTACAATGTTAAATTTAAGATGATGTTATGTTTAATGTGAAAGTAGGAAGATAAACATTTTTGTTTATTTATTGACCTGACCTATGCTTATTTTCATAGCATGTGTATTTTATTTACTTGTCTGTGACTGGTTCTATATCCGTCAGGCACATTTGTAGCCTAGATTGGATCGACAGAATTTTACAATGAAAATAAATAAATAAATTTACAATCTACTCTAGATAATATGGAGTAATAAGTAAATTTGTTCCAAATGGGTGTCTTGAGTAGAGAAGACATCCACTGATGACACTCTGACCCTGTAGAGGAATAGTGATGGGTTTAATCTTCGTCATCTGCAGGTTGGGGTAGGTCAGACAGCCATTGTCTACCCAGTCTTCTTCTTATATTTGGTGGGTTGCTAATTTCTACAGCTAGTCTGTTATTGTGTCTGAGTATGCTTTGATGGTAGAGTGTTGACAATCTATGTATTTCTTCTATGACAAATGGAATTTGCCGATCATTGTGGATAGTAAAGTTGGAGACGTACCAAGATGCTTTAGTTACTGAGCGCAAGAATTTGGATTGAAGTCTTTGAATTATTTTCATGTTTGGTGGTTTTTGTACAGCCCCATAGCTATATACCATATGTCCATGTGGGTTTTATTATACACTCGTATAGTAGAAGTTTGTTTTCTATGGATAGCTTGGATTTACAGCCCAAAAGCCAGTACATTTCTCTTTAAAATAAAATATTTTCCTGAGTATTTTGTCTCTAAACACTTGCTATTTATCTACTTCCCTCAGAGGAAAGACTGTATTTTACAACTACACACAAGAACTGGCCCAGTTATTTCATGTGCTGGTCCTTATTACAGTGAAACCTCAATTTTACCCTTTAGAGGGGATCATATAAAATAAATGTAAAATCAGGGTAATGAAAATTGTGTAACATATAGAAAAGCATTGGTTGCTTTATGCCATAATTTTGGCAAGCCATTTAAAATATGCATGTTTAAACTACGTGGCAAGTGTTGATTCCAGTTCCTTCTACAGCAGATGTTTAAAATATTTCTGCTGCTTTCCTTGCAATTTTTCACAACCATATTTAGTGTGGATATCAAAAGCCCAAATAGTAGCACCAATACATATTCCAATATGTACAAATGGTTCAAAAACTTTCATATGCAAAGATTTGCCTATTTCACTAAGGCAAACTTTTACTATATGCAGAACAGCACTAGTATTTCTTTTAATCCTAAGAAATGGAAAATTGTAAATGTAAAATCAAGTAAATTTCCATTGGTAGGACTCAAAAAATAAAGTGCAAATTTGGGAAAAAGATAAAGTTGAGGAACTGTGAAATCACCCAAAGTTTAACAGCATTGTTGTTTTGGAATTCTGACTGAGGCCAAAAGAGGGAACTGCAAAAATCTGAGAGCATAAGAATGAAGTTTTTCTTTATTCACTGCTGTTATTCAATTTAATTTCAAAGAAAAGAAAGAAAGAACTGAAAGCGGAAAAAGAAAACGCTCAAACTACATTTTATTTTATACATACGAGACACTGTATAGACTAAAGAAGATGCCTCCTTCATCCTTCTGAGTGAACTGGACCCACATAGCTATAGTAAGACTAGATTTGGCACCAAGGAAGAATGGCACAACCAATGAGGCACTGCTTCTTGTTGGATCACTGAAGTATAGATCATAATCCACTTGGATTGCTGAAATGAAGATAGTAAAGATCATATACAATTCTTTATTGGGATCCATCGCAACACAACAATGAAATGGTCTAGGTCAGCATCACCTTAGCTACATGTTTCAGCTTTTACTTTAGTTTACTTTAATTATTGCATTCTGTCAATCCATATAAGGTCAAACCAACCTATTGGATATATGATCTGTCATGTTTAAACATAAAATAATAAAATATACATTCATAGCCATGTTTGAACATAAAATAATAAACTATACATTCCTAACTCATACAAGGACAAATGAAAACACTAAGAACCACTATAAATTAGTGCAGTCCTATAGAGTAATACAAACACTGATACAGTTGTAGTAGATACATAAGCTGTGTAATTATATTACCCATAGTAGAGACAATCAAGACAAAGTGTTCATTGAGAAGTTGATTTATAATATTCATCAATACTATAAAAAGCATGTTCAGTGAGACAGCTTTTTAATAAAAATTTGAACTCTTTTAATATTGTGACGTGTTGCACCAAGGTCAACACCCTCCCCCCCACCAGCGGTGACGTAACACGGGACGCCGCAGTTGCTACGTAGCCGTAAACAACTCCCAACAGCGGTTGCTAAGCAAAGCAGGTAAACAGTGGTTGCTAGAGACAACGGTAATAACAGCGGTACCCATTACGTAACAGGCAAACACTGCAACTATATAAAGGAACTACACAGCCACCGAAGACAGTTGGAAGTTAGTGTGTGATCAGGAGTGACATAGTTGGTGTGTGAGCCGGAGCAACACAGTTCTCAAGTCAGCAGTCTATGAGTTGAGTGAGTTACGAGTAAACCAGTCAGTTGTAGTCAAGCCTTCGCAGGCCAAGTGATTGTAATACTGCAGATAGCAGTAGCTGTGAGATTGTAAACTGTGTAATCGTATGAGCGAATGTGAAATAAAATTTGCTATATCCAGTAAGGCGTGAAGTTATTTGTCGTGTTATACACCCAACACATGACAATATCTTTGGATAGCAATTTAATGTTTGAGGGTAAGTGGTTATAAATTTTGCTACCCAAGAAAAGCACTCCGTTTTGAACTATTGATAGATTTGTAGGAGGTAAATATAAATTGTGATTATAACGTGTGTTGATATCATGAATATCAGTATTAGCTATAAAATAATTTCTGTTCTTAATGACAAAAAGAAGTAAGGAGAAAATGTACTGAGACGGAAGAGGCAATATTTGTCATTTTTTAAACCATCCGCGGCATGAATTCAGTCTACCCGAACCAGATATAACTCTTATTATTCTTTTTTGAATTTTGAAGATACACTCATTATGAGGGGCATTACCCCAAAAGATAATACCATATGACAATAAAGAATGTATATAGGAATAATAGATCATCCTCATTGATTCTAATGACATAAACGGCTTTATTGCCCTTATTGCATAACAAGCCTTATTTAACCTTAATGACAAATCTGTAATATGGTTCTTCCAAGATAAGGTACTGTCAACATTTATTCCCAAGAATTTAGTACAGTTGATATTTGTAATAATTGAATTATTAGATATTATTTGCAATTCTATTTCCCTGTGCTTTTTTAGAAGGAATTGTATAAGGTGTGATTTATCACAATTTAATGTTAGAAAGTTACTATTAAACCACATAATTGTTTCATTCAGAACTAATTTGATACTATTTTTAAATTCTTTGAAGCCATCATCAGGCAAATACATGGTTACAGCACTCACGCACGGTTGAACTGCATTTCAGTGTGACAGTAGAGCTGGATACTTGACAACTAAGTTACACTATAATAATACAAGGTACAAAAACATAATAAAACTATAAAATTATTATAAAACGAAAGTTATACAATAAAATATGGTTAAAAACTATTCATATAATGTTTCATATTAATAAGTCAGTGTTGCAATCTTGTTATTATAGTCCAGCGGGCATATAGCGGTATATTCATAACTTGTACACATATAGTTAACTGTTTGGAGGTCTGTGGTATTGGTGCAGTATCATTTGGTATTAATCTGGAAATGTGACAATAATGGCAGTTAAATTTATTGTAATTAACTATTTATTTGGTATTGATAATATGGTTGTACTGTTTCCTTACTGTTTGGCTGGTGCCTCATTTTACAGTGTATTTTTGTCCGCTCAGGTGGGAATACAGATTGCAACTGATTTAGTGGTATATGATGTTCTTGAAGTCAGTCCAAGGGAGGAAGGGGAGGGGGAGGGTGTGTGAGGATGTGGTGGGAAGGGAGATATAATGTTGTTTATGTTTGGAATGCATCAATTATCACATCATATATAGGATTAAAAATTTCACTAAAATTATCATTTAGTTGTATATTTTGTTTGCTGACTTCATAAATATGAAAACTTGCATAAGTATCTAGTGTTTGGCCTTTTTTGCCGATATATAAAATTTCCATTGTTTTGCCCATCGTGCTGTATTTATATGTGGCATCTAATATATGTTGAGCAAATTTGGAGTTTAGTCCATTATATTTTATATCTCTTATGTGTTCTCTGAATCTAATTTTAAAGGTTTGTCCAGTCTGTCCTATATATTTCAATGGACAGTCAGCACAGTATAGTTGGTAAACTCCGCTAAGGTTGTACTTATCGTTTTTGGTTTTGTTTATTTTTAAAAGATGTTAAAAATATAAAGATCATGTTACATTTTGAAATTGTATCAAACAATGACTGGGGTTTTCTAATTTGATGGTGAATGTACTTACTTTTCCTGCAGTCCTCACCAGTGAGGTTGAAAGGACATTGACAGTAGAACTTGCCAATGAGATCAATGCATGTTGCTGACGGAGGACAAGAATTTTCTTTGCAATCTATAACGTCCTCATCACAATTCTTACCTGTAAGGAATATTAGATTCAGTACTTATATAATCAATTTACTTTTGCACACATAAGGCTCCTTTTATATCCAAAAATCTATGTGTCTAACCTACAATGTTCCCACATTGTAATAGTCAAAAATTTACTTCAGCATCTCCTGATGGAAGAAGTCACATCCAAATTTACCATATTTTGATAGAAGATATCACTCAAGTGTACCTGATGTCTGATAATTCAGGGGAGAAAACTGTGACACTGTCCACTATCTGGTGACAGCAAAAGCTAGAGGAAGACTGGCAGTAAGTAAACAAACAATATACAGGTTTCATATGGAGGGGTTCAATCTCAAGGAATAAAACAGGTAGAGGACAAAGAGCAGTATGGTGTTGAAACCTCAAATAAGTTCACAGCTTCAGAAAACTTAAGACACTGAGGTGGATATTAATAGAACTTGGGAAACTATCAGAGAGGATAACAAAATTTCAGCCAAAGAGAGTCTAGTTTGTTATGAACTGAAGAAGTGCAAAATATAATTCGAAGAAAGGAGCTCAAAATTGTTAGATGAAAGGAAACTAAATTGCAGTGGTTACATGATCAAAGTGCAATAAACTGAGATAATCTGACTGATATAAGATGTGAAGTCAAAAGGCATTTCAGGAATAAAAATAGGGAATGTCTCAAAGACAAAATTGATGAGTTTGCAATGAACAGTAAGAACAAGAACATTAGAGACCTGTATAGAGGAATAAATGACTTTAAGACGGGTTACCAAACTAAAAGTAACTAATTGAAGGATAAGAATGGTGATCTGCTTCCAGATTCTCACAACATTTTGAATAGGTGGAGGAACTAATTCTCTCAGTTATTGAATCTCCATAGGTTTAGTGATGTTAGGCACATAGACACATACAGCTGAGCCATTAGCAGATGATTCCAGTCCTTTTGAAGTTGAAATTGTTATGACAATGTTGAAGAAGTATAAATCACAGGGTAGTGATTAAATTCTGGCAGAATTGATACAAACAGAAGGAGAAATATTATGGTCTGAGATCCATAAGCTTATTAATTATATTTGGAATAAGTAAGAATTTTGTGATCAGATGAAGGAGTCTTATTATTGTACCAATTCACAGGACGGGTGATAAAACTGACGACAGTAATTATGGCATATCACCGCTATCAACTTCATACAGCATTATATCCAATATTCTTCTCTCATGGTTAAGTCTGTATGTAGATGAAATTGTTGGGAATCATCAATGTGAGCTTTGACATAACAGATCGACTACTGATCACTTTTTTTTTTGTATCTGTCAGATACTGAAGAAAAAATGGGAGTAAAATGAGACAGCACATCAGCTATTTGTAGGTTTCAAAAAAGCCTATGATTCAGTTAGGAGCCAAGTATTGTACAATAATCTCACTGATTTTGGGTGCCCATGAAAATAGTTAGACTAATTAAAATGTGTTTAAATAAAACCTGTATTAAAGTTGATTTAGGTAAACATGTCTCATAAATTTCCTATCAAAATGATATAAAAAAAGGGGGAAGCTTTATTGACATTCCTTTTCAACTTTGCTCTAGAATATGCCATTAGGAAAATCCAGGAAAACCAGGTGGGGCTGAAATTAAATGAGACACACCAGCTACTGGTCTATGCTGTTGTGAATCTACTGGGTGATAATATAGATACCATAAAGAAAAACACACAAATTTTAGTTGATGTTAGTGAGGAGGTTGGTCTAGAAGTAAACATGGAAGAAACTAAGAATAAATTGCTCTATCATCATCAGAATGCAGGGCAAAATTGTGACATAAAGATAGCTAACAGATGTTTTGAAAATGTGGCATAATTCATATATTTGGGAATAATAGTAACAAATCAAAATTTGATTCAGAAAAAGATGAAGAGGAGACTGAATTTGGGTAATGCTTTCTACTATTCAGTCCAGAACCTTTTGTCTTCACGTTTACTGCCTCAAAAACATAAAAATTCATATACAGGATGGGGCGCAGAAACTTCCTTTTTTTGAAGGCGAATAGAAGAAAAATTATTGCTGATATGCAAAATTTATGTTTAGTTAATGAAAGAACATACTTCAAAGTTTTAAATCACGTAGTTTTAAACAAAATATCTTGAAGGTGGTGGCCACCGAAATCATGTAGTTTTAAACAAAATATCTTGAAGGTGGTGGCCACCGTTCTCTATTCATTGATGCAACCGTTTTCTGAAGTTCCCCTCTGCACATTCCAACATGTGCATCAGAATTTGGGCTACTTCCTGCCAAATAACATTCTTCAGCTGAAGCAGGTTTGTGGGGCGATGTTTAAAAACCTCTGCCTTGAGGTATCCCCATAAAAAAATCACAGGACGTTAGATTGGGTGAGTGCGCTGACCACGGGATTTCACTTTGAAGCGAGATGAGCCATCCGGAGAACTTTGCCCTCAAAACTGTCGTCAAAGCTCGGGCTGTGTGGGCCATGGCACCATCCTGTTGGAACCAGACATTTCCTAGATGCATTTCTTCAAGAGCTGGTTCGAAAAAGTTTTTAATCATGTCCACATATTGCTGTGAATTGACAGTAACTGCATAATTGTCTTCTTCAAAAAAATAATTGCCAATAACTCCAACTCTCGACAACGCACACCATACTGTCACCTTATCACTGTGAAGTGGCCCCTCATGGAGCTCTCTGGGATTGTTACCACTCCAATAGCGCATATTCTGCTTGTTGACATATCCGGCTAGGTGAAAATGTGCCTCATCACTAAAGAAAACAAGTGCATCAGGGGGTAAAGTTTCCAATAATGTTTAGCGCGCCATTATTCGGTTCTGGAAATCACATGGTGACAATTCTTGCACAACAACTATCTTATAGGGATGGAAATTTAGATGTTCATGAAGAATTTGGTGCATTGAATGACTGGATATGTCTAGGGCGACTGCATGTTTGCGAGTGGAGCATCTTGGAGATCTCAAAATGGACTGTCAAACTGTCTCCACATTTTCTGGCATCGTAATGGTCTGTTGTCATCCTGATGATTTCTTCACCACACTCCCAGTTGTCCTAAAGTTCTCTACCCACAAAACAATCGATTTCCAGTTGGGAACCAGACCTCTGGGCTTAATTCCGAAGTGAGTACGGAATGCACGCTGCACCGCCACGTAGGAATGGTTGTTCGAAAAATAGGCTTCGACAGCAAATGCACGCTGCTCACTCGTCCACCTCATGATTCCTACCGAGGGGTATTAGACAGAAACTTCCATGACTGCTGCGTTCGCTGAGCCTACCCCCACTCTTCTGCGACCTCCCCTCCCTTCACAATGCGTCTTCACAAAAAGGAAGTTTCTGAGCCCCGCCCTGTACATAAAACTCTAATTTTGCCTGTTGTTCTGTATGAGTGTGAAAGGTCTTCTCTGACATCACACAAAGAACATAGATTAGGGGTGTTTGAGAACGGGCTGCTGAGAAGGATATTTGAAATGAAGGGGGAAAGGTGACAGGAGGTTGTAGAAAACAGCATAATGAGGAGCTTAATAACTTGTACTCCTCTCAACGTATAATTACAATGATCAAGTCAAGGAGGATGGGATGTGCAGGGCATAAAGGAGAATAAGGGAAAAGAGGAATGCATATAGAATATTGGTGGGAAAGCCAGAGGGAAAGAGACCACTAGGAAGACCAAAATGTACATGAGTGTATAATATTAAAATTATTCTTAGAAAGGTGGGAAGGGGTGGTATGAATTGGATTGACCTGGCTCAGGCTAAAAATCAGTGAAGGGCTCTTGTGAACATGGTACTGAACCTTCACACTCCATAAGATGTTGGGAAATTTTTGAGTAGCTGCATAACTGGCAGCTTCTCAACAAGGACTTGTCTCCATGGAGTTAGTGCTTCTTTTCTAGAAACAAAGATCCAAAAACTCAAATATAATGAAGAATAATGCTTTGCCTTTGTTTTCAGCTGCCAAAATTGCTGAATATCCAAAAGTTATTAAATCTCTTTCACTGAAAGTCAACTTTCATCTTGGTGGTGGGGAGGCAGAGGTGGCAAATGATGAAAAGATGAGAAGAAGTCAGAGGTTGTAAGGTTCAGAATTTGTTCTCTCATGAATGTAGGGTACTAGCATAGATTCTATAAATAGTAGGAAAACTATCTGAACATATATGGTCCACGTGTGCTCTTAACAAAATGGATCTCCAGTCTCACCAGTGTAACCATGTGGACAGACGCAGGTGTAACCAGGGCCATTATCAATGCAGGTAGCCCCGTTGCGGCAAGCCCCTGCTGCACATGCATCATATTCATACTGACAACCAATACCAGTATAATCATCAGGACAAGAACAATTTAGGCCTGAACCAAAGTCTTGGCAACGTCCTCCATGCATACATGGTTTGCCAATACAACGTTCAGGTGCAGTCTCACAGTGTTTTCCGTCTGTGCCAGATGGACAACTGGAAACAAAGCAGATGTTTTAATGCTATCAGTGGCAGGTTTATTTAACATATCTGACAACCAAAACATATATTTTAAAAAGGGGGGGGAGAGACAGTAAATTATAAGAATATCAGACATAGAATTGTTCCTTTATTTGCTGAAATTGTACTAGAATCACTCATGGAAATTTTCTGAAAACATCACCAAAGATGATAACTTGAAAGGCATGTGCGTATGCACGTGTGTGTGTAAATGTTGTGCATGTTAAAAAATTACCTGTCGCAGAACAGTCGTAGGAAGTAATGGTCTACCACTGACACCTCCCTAGAGAGTGGACTTATCACTAATTGAGTTAAAGTTATACCTTGTTCTTTACATGAGACTTAGACTTCCTTCAGTCTCCTGAAGGTACTGAAAACTGTGGACATGAGTTTCAGTGCTGTCCTCTTTGTACCGTTTCAGTAATTTGATGTATTCCAAAAAATAAAAGTAAGTTGATACCCTTCAAGTTTTGTTAGAAAATTAAATGAGGCTTTCTCTTAAGTTAAATTAAATACAGTAACTGTCTCCTATGTGATACTTACACACAGAAGAAATCCTGGAATAAGTTAATGCAGGTTGCGTCATTCTGGCAGGGTTTGTTCTGGCATGTGCCAATGTCAGATTCACAGCGAGAACCAGTCCAGCCAGGTGGACACTCACATTGGAATTCTCCCACGTCATCTTTACAAGTTGCTCCATTCAGACAAGGCTCAGAAGCACAGTCATCTATGTTCACCTATGGCAATATATGTCACAACATAGAATCTATAGTCACTCAAATGTTATCATGAAATATTCCTGATATATAGTTCTGGGTTTTCTCCCAACAGCAGACCATTATCATATAAAATGATCCAAGGTTACTAGTTTTCTAATTTCTTATCCTAAAATATATATACTGTATGCATATATTTTGTAAGAAAACTAAAAAAGTAAATCAATATTTTAAAACAATTTATTTCCCATTGTCCTTTATTGACCACATTATCAGTTTAAAATAAAAATAATAATTATCTGATTTATTTTTAAAGAATTTTAACTCAAAATTATTGACCTACAAATGTACTCATAATTAAATAGGAAGTTCTGGGAAGAACTCATCATCAAGTTTCCTTTCACCACAGACTGAATATCAGAAAAGAGTTACTTTTAAGTATTTAAGATATATAAAAGTATATAATGTATGCCATCTACACAACAATATTCTGTATTTAAAAACAAAGAAGACACTACTGTATCAACATTTGCTCTTATTATGCTTTTAAAGATGCAACATGATAATTAATTGCAATTCATCAGCTCATACTGGTGCTTTGTACGCCTGATGATGACCTGCGCCTGTAAAAGCATAATAAAAGCAAATGTTGATACAGTGATGTCTTCTTTGTTTGTAAGTACAGAATATTGTCGTGTAGATACCTTATATACTTTTGTATATCTTATTTATGACACACAACAGGATGAACCCTAGTAAGATTACATTTAAGTATTATTTATTATTTTAAATTTTTAAATATCAAATATTAAATACTAAAATAATTAACATTTATTAATTACCTAAACAATTTGAGATGCGTGCAGTGTTGGTATTATGGATATGAGAGATTTATGAAGTATAACATGGAGATGGCCTCATGTGGCACGATATATATACCAAGCTTTATGAAGATTGATACAGGTGTTCTAATATTGTTAGGGGAGAATACACATGTAGACACACACACACAAAGCAAGGTGACCTTATAACTCTACTTTTATTACTTTCAAAAGAGGGAAAGTAAGCTAAAAATGATCATCTACTAGAAAAATGTTTTCACAATGCTGGGCGTGCTTAGAAGCACAGGGTCATCACTTTGAGACTCTTCTATAATGTAAGTTAATTACAGTGGAAAGTGGACTGTGAATTATTGGTTACCACAGTGAATCTATGCAACAAGCAGGCCATGTAAGCTCTGGGAACCAGTATAACATTAAACTCTAACCCCACATTAATAGGTAAGTTTTTATTTAACAGAAATAAACAGCTGCAACTCATTTATACCAAACATTCCTGTTACAGCCTGACATTATCTGACTTTCACAGTTTTATTCCAGAAGAAATGGGCATTACAGCAAAAGTATATTGATAAGTTTCAAGCAATAGTAATTTTGCAGAACCAATTACACTTCTGACAGGAACCTTAATATCATGCATATTAAATTCATAATTCTGTATTTCAGCATCCTGTTGCACATCTTTAATTAAATGTCTATGTATCAAGTCTGTTAATGATGCAACAATCATTAAAATATTCACCATTTAACACTAACACAACGTGTTTCGGCCACAAACAGCCATCCTCAGGTGTTTCAATGCATCTAAACTGTTACACTTCTTTGATGCACAGTAAAATTGTGCATCACATTTCACTTAAAATAACATAAATAATTACTTAAAATTCATTAAAATTTTTTCTATTAAAATCTTCCATAAAATCCTGTTCCACTTCATAAGGGGTGTCATCCACTTGTTTAGAGCTGTGCGATATTCCAGGCAGTTTGTCTCAGCAGCTTCTTCTTCTGTTGTTTTGCTACGTCTGCAATCTGTAATGTGCCCCTTGCTTGTGTGTTGTTCCTCTAGCAGCGTGTGGTGTTGTCTTCACTAGTCCTTTCATGACACCCCTTATGAGGTGGAATAGGATTTTATGAAAGATTTTAAAAGAAACAATTTTAATGCATTTTAAGTAATTATTTATGTTATTTTAAGTGAAATGGGAGGCACAATTTTAGCGCACATCAAAGCAGTATAACACTTTGAATGCATTGAAACACCTGAGGATGGCCATCTTTGGACAAAACATGTTGTGTTAGTGTTAAATGGTTTTAATGATCGTTGCATTGACGGACTTGATACATAGATGTTTAATTATTAAATTCAATTTTTCTAACCCATAGATTGGTGTAATGTACTCATCATGCATGAAGTAGTAATATTCACTTTATTTAATGTTTATATGATGGGATATTTGGAAACTAAATATCAGAGACTACAAAATTTAAATTGTCCATATGATGTGACTAAGTGCAACCTAAATAAATTAAAATTGTATATTTCAAACAAAAATGTATTTCATCACAGAAAAGATAATTCTGTAATTTAGGAAGACATAAGTTTAAAATTTTCCTACAGTCTATGTAAATTAATTTGTGATACCATCAATCTGTAATTCAATGTCCTTACCTCACAGTACTTTCCAGTGTATCCTTCATGACAGTGACATAAGAACCTGTTGTCAAGATCAATGCACTGTCTGGTTCCCTCTGGACTACAGGGATCACTGAGACACTCGTCAATCTCTGCTTCACACTGCAAACCTACAAACAACAAATAATCATACTTAGAAATATCTCTGCCAACTGAATCATGACAATCTTAATTCTGCTAGTGAACCAACTGATCTGATGAGGCCATGTTCTGCAATGCTTTGGATGATCAAATTTAGCTTATGTTTACAGGCTTGTTTTCCATTTACAATATTATATTTGAGCATCCTGTTACACTCACACAATATATATGAGACAAACTCTGTCTTAAGTGCAACAATTTTATTGTAGTCCTTTCTTCTTCCCTTCCTCCACACTACATGTTTTAATACGTGTATTAATACACGTATTAAAGATAAGCAGCGACACACACACACACACAGAGAGCCTACACAGAACAATAACTGAACAGCGATTAAACAAGAAGTAGCCGCTGCAGCACTATAGACATAGGGCGTGTACCCCGAGAAAATTTTATTTTTTAAACATTTGGAAAAAGAAAAGAAGATTTATAGACATTTTAATTTGAATTGAAGTTTTAAAAAAGTGCAAATTTTAGAAATCAAATTGACGCATGTAGGTTAACAAAGACTTTATACATACATACAATTGGAAAGACTGGTGATTTTAAATTTTAAACTACGGGCAGTGTAGCAGCTATGTAAGAATACACACCTGACGATGGCCATTTAGGGCCGAAACATGTAGTGTGGAGGAAGGGAAGAAGAAAGGACTACAATAAAATTGTTGCACTTAAGACGGAGTTTGTCTCATATATATTGTTTTCCATTACTTGTAATTCATATGCATGTTTAAAGAATGCATATCTGTGCAAAGTATTTTATTCTCAACGCTTTCAGCAATTCATCTCTACTATAAAGGTTAACTCTTATGTTACTGATTTTTTATAAAACATTCTAAGAATTCTTGCAGATATTGTAGCACTAGGCTTCAAAGTATGAAAGATTAAGAATGACATTTCATTCTCTTCATTACTTACCAACAAAACCTGGTCTACATTTGCAAACAAAGCCATCCAATTTGTCTACACATGATGCTCCATTCTGACATGGCTCAGAGGCACAATCATCCACTGTGTGTTGGCACCTCTTTCCTGTGTAGCCTGGTTCACAGGTACATCGGAAATCATTTATGCCATCCTCACACTGTCCATCATTCTCGCATGGTGAACTAGCACAATCATTTATATTCGCATCACAAGCCACACCTGTACAGAAACAAGACACATTAGGTTACAAATGAACTTTCTCAAATAATTTAGATAAGAGAAGATTTGTACCAGCAGAAATGCATTTCATGAGGACTTGCAGGATACATTAATATGAATTTGAAAAAAATGACAGAGTTTATATACTAACACGAAAGAAAATCAAAGAACACTGACAGGATGAATTTTGAAAGAATTAAAATAAATCTAAAATATGAAACAGGAGAAAAATAAGTTTGGAAAGACATAAAAATGACTTAAGGGTTTTATATGATAATATCTGTAACAGACCTCCATGGGTCTATTACTGGAAAGGATTGTGATAAAGGATCTAAGGTTCTCATAGTAGTGGTTATGAGATATAATGCTGTGTAGTCCATTGAAAGTCAACTGATGTTTCAAAGGTGACATCTTTCTCCAAAATAACGCTTGACTTTCAATAGACTCTATACAGAAGATAAAAATCTTGATGATAAAGGTGAAAATGTTAATCTGTCAGTCTCAGAATCCTTCCTGTGTTACATGCAATCATTGTTTGGGCTAGGAGCTGGTCCAAGAGATGTGAAAATCTAGAAATAATTTATGAGACAGATATCAACAATGCAGGAAGTACATCATACTTTCATGTTATGAGAAACTAACTCCATTGAGCAGAGTCCAATTAGAGGAGGTAATAGTCACTCAGCTAGTCAAAATATTTCCCTCCATTTATAGTCCTGCATCAGATCCACAAGACCCTGCAACTAGGCCCTGTCCTGAGCCACATGAATCCAGTCCACACTCAAATACCCTATTTTCCTAAGATCTATTTTGATACAGTAAACCCTGCTCTATCTAGCATATGTGAGAAATTGGTTCTTCTGGTTAAATAATCCTGCTGTTACATAAGAAAAATTCTTACAGAAATCTCATAAAAATTCAATACATTTTTTCATTCTATTTCTTGTAGAAGTAAACACAGAGAAAACTAAGTATATGTTACTGTCTCATCACCAAAATGCAGGGCAAAATCATGACATAAAGATACGAAACAGATGTTCTGAAAATGTGGCACAGTTCAGATATTTGGGGAATATGATAACAGATCGAAACCCGATTCAGGAGGAAATTAAGAGGAGACTGAACTCGGGTAATGATTGCTACCATTCAGTCCAGAACCTTTTGTCTTCTCATCTGCTATCCATAAACATAAAAACTAGAATATACAAAACTATAATTTTGCCTGTGGTTCTGTATGGGTGTGAAACTTGGTCTCTGAAATTAAGGGATAACATAGACTGAGGGTGTTTGAAAACAGGGTGTTGAAGAGAATATTTGGACCAAAGAGAGATGGACTGGAGGTTGAAGAAAACTGCATAATGAGGAGCTTCATAACTTCAACTCTTCTCCAAGTATAATTAGAATGATCAAGACAAAGAGGATGAGATGGGCAGGGCATGTAGCACAAATGGAAAAGAGGAGGAATGCATATAGGTTATTGGTGGGAAAGCCAGAAGGAAAGGGACCATGACATAAGTGGGTGGACAATATTGAACTGTGTAAGATTTGAGGTTTTCACAGCAGTAGCTATGAAGAAAACAGTCTTCTGGGATGTGGCACTGTGTAGATATTGTAATAACCAATGTTAATTGAACTGGATCTTAGAGAAATAGGATGGGATGACATGAAGTGCCCTAACATGGGTCAGGATATGGACAAGTGGAGTGCTCATGTGAACATGGTAATGAACATTCTGGTTCCATAAAATGCTGGGAAGTTCTTGAGTAGCTGTAAAACTGGCAGCTCCTCAAGAAGAGCTCAGCTCCATGAGTTAATGGAATGAATTCTCTTTCAAATTTTTGCTGGTTGGAAAGAAAATTACAGATACTTGGATCTCAAGGTTACTAGGAGTTTATTGTACTACTTTCCCGTCTACACCATACGTCCCAAGTGGTCTCTTCTCTTCATATTTAGAGACTAAATTTATGCATGCTTTTGTTATTCTCTCATATATGTGCTGCATACCCAATCCATTTTATCCTCCTTGATTTTATTAACCTAATAGTATTCAGTGAAAAATGATCTGATGTTTTCGGCCATGCAGACATGACTCAGGACATGAAAAAAGAACCCATATTACAAATGGGGTCTGACAAAATGATACTGAGACATGTATATGAAAAACCCTTCACGGTCAGATTTCCTGACAGGAGTGAATGGGAAGACGGGTTTCAGCCCGATAGAAAAGGGGGACTGATCTGGTATACAGATGGTTCCAAGACAAATAAGGGCACTGGAGCTGGTGTGTACTGCCATGGCATCAGGCGGAAACTTAGTTTTAGCCTTGGGCTTCACACGACAGTATTCCAGGCAGAAGCATATGCCATAAAAGCACGTATTATGGAGAATTTAGATAGGAACTATAGAAATAGGAACATCTACATTCTGTCTGACAGCCAAGCTGCACTTAAAGCACTTGACAAATACCAGATCAATTCAAAATTGGTCTGGGATTGCCACCAAACTCTCATGGAACTGGCCAAACATAACAGGGCACAACTGATATGGGTGCCGGGGCATGAGGGTATTGCTGGAAATGAAGCAGCAGACCAATTAGCTAAATTGGAACTGAATATCCATTCATAGGACCTGAACCAGCCTGTGGCATCTCTCTGGGAGTTGCCAAACAGGCAATCAGGGACTGGACCAACATGAAACACAAGGAATACTGGGAATCCTTAACTGGACTCAGGCAAGCAAAGGGACTCGTACGACGACCTTCTGCTAAAAGAGCAAAGGAACTGTTGAAGCTCAACAGGAACCAGCTACAATGGGTGGTAGGACTACTTACAGGACACTGTCACCTCAAAGGACACCTGTTCAAACTGGGACTAAGTGATAGTCCCACCTGTGAGAGGTGTCAGATAGAAAATGAAACAGCCACACACGTCCTGTGTGAATGTGAGGCTTTAGCTTATTTAAGATTACGTCACTTGGGTCAATACTTTATGGAACCAAGTGACTATTTTGATGCCCCCACATCCAAAATCCTGCGCTTCATCTGAAGCGTGGGGTTGCTGAGGGAATAATTAAAAAAGGGGAAGCACAATAGACCTAAGGTGGCGGTGCAAGGGCCGAGAAGGCCTACCCCTCATATTTTCTATTCTATTCTAGTGAAAAATACCAATTATGAAGCTCCTCATTACAGAATGCTCTATAGCCTCTTGTTACACATACTTCCCCTTTCTTAGGTCCTAGTACTTTTCTCAGCTTTGTCTTCTCAGACACCTTCACATTATTCCTTTCAGGAGAGAGACCAAGTTACATTTCCACGCAGAAACAGGTCAAATTTTACTTACATCATTATATTTCTAGACAGGAGACTCATATATAGATTCTGAACTGAATGATAGCAAGCATTCCACAAATTGTCTAAAGGGTTCTGATGATGGTGTATAACATTAAACATTACAGTGTTTTTGGACTTTGTCTATCATTTGGTATTTTAAATAACACAAAAGAACACAGAATTCAAATCTGCTTCTGTCCTCAGGTGAGGAGTGGGAGACACCTACTCCATTGGTTCATTAGAAAAAGTTAACCTCATTCACTGGTCCAAGGGAGTAGGTGCCTCCTACTCCTCACTTGATGAAGAAAGAGATCCAAATTCTGAAATGTTGTGTTCTCCTTGCGTTTTTCAGAATACCAGATAATGGAAAAGTCCAAAATCATTGTAATCTTGATTTCCAGAAATCAATCTGCTCTTAATTTCTTTGTGAATGTAATTTTGATTTGGTACTGTCATTTCCAGATATCTGATCTTTGTTACAGATGTGAAGGATTTGTTAAGTATCATTATACTATAAACAGTGAAATGCTAATTGTAGCAAAATACTTATTTTATAGCCCACTGATCTATAATTTTGATGGGTTACATATCATGATACAGCTTCTGCTATCATGATCATTGGAAATGTCAAACTTCTTAATCTTAACAGGCACAGCTGTGAATGCAAACTTACTGTGCCATATACATGCATAAAGACACAATCTATTTACTTTCAGGAACTGGAAAATAACTGGTCACATTGTCGCCACACTGGACCTTTCAATATGCACACTGCAGTGTTTTATATGTATGTGTCTCATTGAGAAGAAAGAAACACACTGCTACAGAATTCCTAATTATCGCAGTGCTTGCATTAATAAATTTACATAAGAACGAAAGATTTGAGGAGTGCACAGCCTTAATATTTTAAATAAGTTACCACATCAGGTGAAACATCAGTTTACGTGTACATACACACATACTAAACAAGCATCAATCGGCACATTTTAACAACAATTAATTATAAAGAAAGCAGTCTTCTGGGATATGGCACCATGTAGATATTGTGTTAACCGACGTTTTGGAGGAACATATCGTCTCCATCTTCAGGGTAGAAGAAAGAAGAAAATCTGCAAGCGAGGAACCACCGTGAGAGGGTGCTAACAGACTCATGTCAAGAATACACCCAACTGTATAAGAGCAGGAAGAGAATGGAGAGGGGCTACATGGGAAATCAGTAGTGAGGAGAGGGGAAGGGTCTGGGTAGGTGGGCCAGAAGGTAACAGGCCAGAGCAGGTATAGAATGTTGTGTCGGGGGAGAAAGGCAAGGTTAATTGAAGGGCATTAACCCTGAAGCTTCGGGGCTGCTATGCAAGTCGGGCATGGACTCGGGTGGCCTTTTGGATCTGGCATCGTAACCTGGAAGTTTCTTGAGGGAACAGATGAGAGGCTTCCATGACTTGCTGATACAAAACCCCACAGAGACACCAGATCCACAAGGCCACACAAGTCCATGCCCAACTCACATAGCAGTCCCGAAGCTTCAGGGTTAATGCCCTCCAATTAAGCTTGCCTTTCTCCCCCCCCCCCAACACAACATTCTATACCTGCTCTGGCCTGTTACCTTCTGGCCCACCTACCCAGACCCTTCCCCTCTCCTCACTACTGATTTCCCATGTAGCCNAGCTGTGAAAATCTCAACTCTTATGTAATTAATTATAAAATAGGATAAATAATTTAGATAACTAATGTAAATGCTTACATTTCTTATTGAATAATGTTATTCATTCAGTATATATGACGCAACAGCTCATACCACTTGCAAAGAGGAAATTACCCATGCTTGTACATTTAATGAATTACCTTACCTGTCCAGCCAGGGTAACAAATACACTGGTGACTGAAGAGTTTATCAACACACATTCCATGTTTGCAGGGATTGGTACTACAAAGGTCAATCTTCTCATGACAGCGCTTGCCACTGAATCCTGGGGGACATGCACAGCTGAAATCTGCTACCAAATCGGTGCAGTTAGCACCCAACAAACAAGGACGTTCTGAGCAGTCATCTGAAAGATAGTATTTTTATATACTGAGAAAACTAGTAACTGACACTGATCTGTAATTTTCTAAGAATTTTGTGTGAGTGTATGTTTTACCCGTGTAGCACTGGAATTAAAATGAGAGGTTTTGGTGCGAGAAAGGTCTGAACAGTGTGAAAATGGGCTTATGTTCCTATGTTTAATTTAGCAAACCACACAGATATTTCAGTACAAAAATTATATGAATCCTATCATTTATAGTGTGTGAAAACTGTTTTAAGAAAAATGTACAGTTTTTTATGAGCTTGTAAACTTCCTGAACTCAAAGCTAGGGCACCAGACAACACTTTTTAAAATACATGACTATCCATAAATAAACTACAGTCTGTTCTGAGGAAAAGGTAAAAACTTCTGTCAGATTTCAAAAGCTATTAAACAGAGTATGTTATAGGGATGCATAAGAATTACTTTTTCATTGTAAGATAAAATGAATAGAAGAATTTGGAAGAAAACTGAGAAGTCAGTTCAGAATCTTCTCTGGAACACCAATTATTTCCACTACAGTAATTAATTGGGGGCTCACGGTAGCTTAGTTGTTTGAGGCACTATGCTACAAGCCAGAAGGTTGCTGGTTCAAGTCCTAATGAGGTCATTGGATTTTTTCAGCTTACCTAATCCTTCCAGCCGCACTATGGCCACAGGGTCAACTCAGCCTCTAACAGAAATGAGTACCAGGAATTAATTAATTTTCCTGGAGAGTAAGGTTGACAAATTTACAGCCATCTGTGAGCCGATGGTCTAGATAATGTGGGACCTTCAACGTCGCACAACCCTATGGGCCTTCATGGCCTGTTACAGGGATAGCTTTACTTTACTTTATTTTTAGTAATTAATTATGTTTGCCAGTTTTTCACACCACACTAAGTGTATTACCATATTTGCTCAACTTGAAAATGACACAGCACTAAGAAACATGTCTGCACAGAAGTAATTTTTCAAATTAATTTCATCTCTCACCACAAATATGCAAAAAAATCAATGTTACAAAACATGTTACATATAACATTTTGCGTTAACTTTCCTTCATGGAGTCATTAGACTTTATTTATTCAACTTTATCATTCTCACTCAGTTCACCATTCCCATGACCTGTCTCTGGTTCACTGTCTTCATAAATGCCATTTTCTGTTTCTCATTCACTGCCCACACTCTCATGTTTATTGGCAACATTCCCAACTTCTTTATCGTCTTTCCTCCCATGCATTTCATCTGATGTACAGCACTTTTTGAATCCTTTGACTGTCATTTCTTGAGAAATCCACTGCTCATGGTCTTGATCCACTGGCACAGCAGTTCTAAACTAGACCTGTCTATTGTCTCAAACTGTGTGAGCACAAGCTCCCCTGGTAAGAGCTGATTAGGATACAATTGTTTTAAATGATCCTCATGAGGCTTATTCACTAGGAGAAGTTATGAGTTCATCTCTCCAGGTATGACCACAATGTTAGTATCCAATGCATGAATCACAAACACAGATCTGACATCCAATGTTAACTGACCTTTAACCTTTAAAGTATGGACTTTTAAATAGCTGCAAGCCTGTTGCGGTCAGAATTTAAATGACCCTAAGTCTCTTGATCCCATTATTACCTTTCATGGCTGAATTAATGCAAGGAGATACATGGACAGCTTGGGTAATCAGGTGCATACTGTGATCCAAATGTTACTCTCGTCCTAACAATGACACAGTTTTCCAAGATAACAATGCTCCCATCCACACAGCTGGAATCCTTCAGTCATGGTTTGAAGTGCATGAAGGTGAACTTCAACATATCCCCTGGCCAGCACAATAACCAGATTTGAACATCATTGAACCACTGCTCAGTTCTGGAGACCAGAGTAAGGAAGAGATTCCTACATCCAACATCCCTAAATCAACTTGAAGATGTTCTTCAAAAAGAATGGTATTGAATTCCACTAGAGCAGTGTTTCTCAACAGCTGGGCCATGGCCTAGTAAGGGTCCTGGCATCAATTATACTGGGCCCTCCTCTTATAAAAAAAAAGAATTTATCAGGCTGCAGTCTCACAAAGTTTGAGAACCACTGCACTAGAGACTGTTCAAAACATGTACGAGTACATTCCAAGAAGGATTGTGACTGTATTGAAGTCAAAAGGTGATCCGAAACCATATTGATAAGGAAACGTGTATACTACCTGTAGTGTTTCCATTATTTTGTTCAACCCCTGTATGTGTCTGTACACATGCATGCATGCACACACAGAAAGAGAGGATTCAAATTCATAGTGACCCACAGTTCCGTTACTCTTAATTGGGGGTGTCTGGTCTTTCATCTGGGCAAATATGGTACCAGTCTCTTCTAATATTATATTCCAATATTTAAGATGCTGTCTCTTGTTCTCTGTAATAAGAATGATGAATATATTTGAATTACATAAATGTTTAAAAAAATATTTACCTGTGTTGATCTCACAATGCAATCCTTCCCATCCCGGCAAACATTCACACTTGAAGCGACCTTGTTGCAGTGCTACACATGTTGCTCCATTGGCACAAGGATTGCCATTTGCTGTGCATGGATTTATCTGCCAAAAAGATATTATAATAACATATTACCTGTATCCATAAACACACTCTTAAATTTCAAAGGAAAATTTCAAAATTAATTTAACCTATGATCAGTCTATCTCTCATTATGAAATGTAAGAGAGAAATAAAACCCCTCTAACTTTGACCAAATGTCTGGGAGGCCAAGCTCTGTCTGCCACAAGCCAGGACAAAGAGGAGAGTGATAGGAGTAACACCTCTTTAAAAAACTTTGGTCCATCTGGCACCAGACGGTAGCATCTTGCAAGGGCCCCTTGCCAGGTTTGCAGTGAAGGCCTCAATGGCAGCATATGCACCAACAGAAGACAGTCAAGAAGAGAATAAGCATGCCCTTTATAATCAACTTCACCAAGATTGTTCAAAAATACCAAAATATATGTTAGTGATTTTAGGTGAATTTAAAGCTCAAATTAAGACAGAAGCCTTTTTAAAAAATGTGGCTCGAAAATGCACACTTCATACTGAAACAAATGACAATGGAAAAATGTTAAGTGAGCTGGCAATGGCCAATAATCTTATTATCATAAAATAATACACAAAGGAACATGGAAAATACCTGGCAATGAACAGACTAACAAAATAGATCATGTATTGGTATATAGAAGACATGATTTATCAATACGGGATGTTAAAACAGCGAGAGGTCCTAACTGCGACTGAGATCACTATTTAGTTGAAGTTAAAATAAAAGATAGACTGACCACAATAGATAATAATAAGAGTTATACGAGAAAAAGTGGGAAGTAGACAAATTAAAGCAACTAGGACAGTCTCAGTTACATCTGGAAACAATGAAAACAAAAACACGAAGAAAAGAACTGACAGAAATTCAAAATGAACAGGTTGAACAGCAATGGAACATTATAAAACAGGCTGTAATTGAAGCTGCAACAGAAATAATTTGTGAAAAGAAAAGAATGAAAAATGAATGGTATGATGAGGAATGCCTATTTTGCTAATAGTCAGCTTCTTAAAAGAGCACTATTTCAAGATCAACTAAACTGAAATTGTACAGAACATTAATAAGACTGGCAGTTACCTATGCTGCTGAATTCTGGACACTGAACATTTCTGAAGAAAATGCTCTTTGAATATTTGAAAGGAAAATTATAAGTGAAATCTATGGTCCTGTTTGTAAAGACTGTGTTTGGAGGGTTAGATGCAACTCAGAAATTAATAGTTTACTTCAAGGAGACAACATAGTGAGACACAAAAATCTCTTAGGCTTAGTTGGCTGGGTCATGTGGAGAGTATGGAGAGTGAGAGGGCCCTAAAATGTTTATTGAATGGTGAAATCTTTGATGTCCATAGAAGAGGAAGGCCTAGGAAGAGATGGTTCCAAGATGTGAAAGATGACCTAAGAAGAATGAGGGTTGGTAAATGGAACCAGAAGGCACAGGAACGAAATAAATAGTGGCTAATTGTGAAGGAAGCCAAAGCCCACCAAGGGCTGTAGAGTTGAGAAAGAAGAAGACAGAAGAAGAGAGACAGAAGCTGTCACATTTAAAGATGGATACTATATACACTGTGTCAAAATGTATGCTTGCTAATGCGAAAGCCTCTTAGAATTTAATGGGGAATCATTTAGTTGTTATCTTAATCCTTCATTCCATTTTTCCCTTTCCTGTATTCCTTCCATAACTTCATCCATATTCCCTTTTTCACCATTAAAACTGTGAATAAAATTATTTATTTATTATTCCAATGGCACAATTTCAATTGTAGAACTGTCACCTGTGCAAAAATATGAAAACTAATATGGAACATGAATAATATATACACACAGAGTCAGATAAGACACATATAGCCATAACCTTTCTCCTATTACATATGTGTGTGTGTGTGTGTGTGTGTGTGGGGGGAGGGAGATATAGATTACCTCTATCTATGTATACCCACACTTGTACATATATACATATATACCTACATATACATATACTTCCCACTTTCCTTTAATACTTGCTCATTATCATATGAAAGCATTTATACCGTAACATCACAGTCCAATCCAGTGTAACCTGAACGACACAAACAAGTATAGTTGTTGATTCCTGGCTCATCTTTACACATGGCCCGTTCTGGACAAGTCTTATTATGGCAATCTGACTGCTCCACTTGGCAATTTATTCCACTGTACCCTGAAAAGGACAGTAGAGTGACTTACATGAATTCAAATAAATGAGCTTTTACATAATACCATCATAAATATTAATAACTGGGGTTTAAAGTGTTGTTAGGAACTAGCACAAAAACAATGGCCACACCAAGAGTAGAAGGTGGGTTTAGTAGAGAATCTGTCCATTTTGGGTAGGGCCATTGTCACCACAGCATGGCGCACCCTCAGGTTGCGGATGCAGGAGACAGCCTCCAGATATGGAGGGGAGTTGCGAATATAAGTAGTTGCAGACAGCCAACAAGAAGTGGTCCTCCAGCCTGCGGGTTTACTACTTCACTATCATTACTAGTTTTGTCCAAGCTCTCATTCCCAGTTGTTGGTTTGAAAATGTCTTCCCTACATACTATAGCAATGAAATCTCCCAAAAAAATTTTCAGTGGATATTTAGAGAATTCGTGGAAAACATGTTCTAGTGCCTCGTAGAAGAAGTCCTTCATATCATCAATTTTATCTGAGGCAGAAAAATTCAGAACAATGACATCACACCAGTGACCTCTTAGTATTTTGTATGACATCACATCATTAACTTAGTGTTACACAGAAACGTTATTACATCCATTATGAGGTGGGATAGTGTGGTTGCTATAGCAACTGGCTACATGCTGGATGACCAAGGTCCTGGTAAGGTCAAGAATTTTCTCTTCTCCACGTCATCCAGAGCAGCTCTGGGGTCCACCCAACCTCCTATCAAATGAGTAGCAAGGGCACTTTCCCCAGGTGTAAAGCAACTGGGACATGAAGCTGACTGCTCACCTTCATCTAGTGCCAAGACAAGAAACTGTGGAGCTATACATCCAATCCCCCATACATTTTCATGGTGTCATGCTTAATTAGTTAAGCACAGGAACAACTTTTATTGCACCCATTACAGATGTTTTACTTCCATTTATGACCTATTTATTGACTCTCCCTCATACATTAGTACATATTTCCAAATTCATGTACTGTTTATAAACCCATAAATTGTTATTCAAATGTTAGACTTCGCATAGTAGCATGAGTTCAAATTGTAACCAACAATAGTGTTATCACCTCAGAGCCTGCCACACAAACAGAGGGGACTGACATTCCTCCTGCCCAGCTACATTATTGAATCTTCGACTGCCAGCAGAATCAATAGGCCTAGAGGCATTAATCACAAATAGAGCCCACCTAGATAATGGCAGATGCCAAAAATGCATTCCTGGCACCTCTGAAAACTTCCACACCCATGCACTGAAGTTTCATTTCAGAAATACAATAAATTTGAAACTTTTAACCTGAAACTTCAAATACCAACTTTTTGTGAAGGGTGTCTGAAGGGTTTTCAAGAAGAATATTCAAATCTAGCATCACACAACTCTCCACCAGTCAGCACCACAACCACTGTCACCACCTCTGTTTGATAGATGCTGATTCTCAAGTCTTTTAGGGCAGGACATGGTAAGTTGATGAGAGTAAACTGATTATCAGTGTCCTGGTTAACTCATGGCAATGAGCTCTTGGATCTCAGGATACAAGTACCATATGCTGCCATAACCAAAAGGTAAAATCTTTGTTATGTGGAAAGGATTACAAGAAAGCAGCGGTTTAGGACAGATAATTTGGAAGGAAATAATGGTACTGTTGGTTATCATTATATATTCCTCCATACATTATTCAATTGCACTCCAGTGTGTAAGACCCATAATCACTGCCTTTATATAACCCTTCAAATGAACTCATGTAACACTTATACTCCATTTTTTATTAGTTACACTTATGAGGGATATGTAGCCATCTTTTCTATGAAAATTTACTCTTCTGATTTAATTATTTCTATAATCACAGACTAATTCCTGAAGTACTTATATATCACTAGAAATTTCGTGTCTGCATCTTCCCCCATATTGTCCTCTGCTCCACTTACTGACTGCTTGAACATCTCTTCTTAATTCAATTGACTTGATCTCTTTCTCACCATTTGTCTTTTCAAAATTCTATGAACTAAATTACTTGAAGTTTATGATTCAAATTTCCAAAACATCCTGTTTGTAACTCTTCCCAGGCTGTCCTTTCCTGACTGTCCCTTCACAACTCTCTTTACCAACTTCCTCACACTCTCTCTCAACTTCTACTGAGTGAGAACTCACTCCAAATCTCCTCCCAGAAATCTCTCTACCCAGGAGCTCTGCCTTTAAAAAAGGCTGACTTTGACAACATTTTCATTGGTCACAGGACTCCTGGTACAAGGTTATGACTTCATTGAAAATCAGTTTTCTGGGAGGATGAAAATAAGTGGTGATTTGCTTACAAAAGACATACACTTCAGAATGTCGTAGTGTGGTTTTTGAAATCTGCCACCCATTAAAACTTCCTCTGCACCATTTATTCATATTCTAAAATCAGCATATTTCCAGTAAACTTCGAAAGCTATATGTGAACACCCTTGCTTAGCTTTAGGGTAGGCACCTCTATCAATACTGATTCTTTCTTGAACATTTGCACTGCAGCAGTTGTTGACTCTAGTCAAATGTGAGAAAGCTCTGTCCTGGAGCTTGCATATGCCTTTTAAATCTCAGCATTACTATAATTTGCCATAACTAAAAACTTAAATTGATTAAAGTGGTTGTGGGAGAATCACAAGTGATTTCATCCAATTTATCTTCAGTGAGCACTTGGAATTTTGATTCAGTTTTGTTTGTTCAACAACAATCTTGTCTGCCTTAATTTACTTATGACTGTATGAGTAGTTTCTGTATGTAGAACTGCAACATAATGAAACTGACACTGGAGTTTCTTCCTTACTTTTCTTATGCAACCCCATCCCATATAGGTATCTCACATATGCTATAAACTCCGTCCTAAGTGCAACAATTTACTGTAGGTCTTTTGTCATGCTTTCTTGGCCACAAACGGCCATCATCAGGTGTATACACTCACATAGCTGTTACACTGCACTTAGTTTAAAATTTAAGAACACAGGTCTTCCCAATTGTTCCCTTCGTCGTTGCTAACAGAATCTACTTCGCTGATATTTGTCTGATTCGTACATTATCTTTGTTACCTACACACGTCAGTTTTGACTTTGATGAACTGGCACTTTTAAAATCTTCAGTTCCAATTTGAACTTGACAGGAGAATGGCCTTTCTCTTTCGCCTGTGTGGCNAGGGTTACTCGCCCTAAGTCTATAGTGCTGCAGTGGCTACTTCTTGTTTTCAGCACTGTACAGGTGTTATTCTGTGTAGGCTCACTGTGTGTGTGCCGCTGCTTATCTTTACTATGTAATCCTGAGAATTTTAAATTTTAAAATTTAAAAATTTGAAAAAAGAAACTTAAGGAATTTTTTTTTAAATTGGAACTTAAGATG